ACCGAACCGCAAACGGCCACAGAAAGTGGGGGGCAGCCGCATGCATCATGGACGTACGAGCGACATCCATGACCATGCCAATGCGGCGCTCAGCAATCCCATTTTGCTGTGGAGAGTCCGGAAGCGTAAAGGTCTGGCGGATCCCCTGTGCACGACAGTAGGCTCGCAGAAGGCGAGAGGAGAACTCCCCACCGCGGTCAGAGTGCAGACGCAGAACAGGAAAGTCCGAGCCGAAGCTCCTCCTGAGCTGGAGACGAGCCTCGCGGATCTAGTCGATCAGCACCTCAGTGACAGCACCCTTGCTGCGCAAGGGGAAGACTGAGGTGTAACGCGAGTAGTCGTCAACCACCAACAGGAAGTAGCGCTCGTGACCCTGCCCACGGACGGGGGCCGGGCCCCACACGTCCATGTGAAGCGTCTGCAGAGGAGCCTCTGTCGGGGGAAACTGGGAGGAGTGAGGAGCAGCCCTGAGGCGCCCCTCGACACAGGGGACACAGGAAGGTCCTGGTCCCGAAGGAAGGGGAGGGAGAGACTGGGGAAGACCAGAGACAAGGACACGGGAAGCCATGCCTCGAAGACGGGGCAAGGAGGGGTGGCCTAGACGGTGGTGCCACAGAAGAGTCTCGTGAGACAGGAGGCGACACGAACAGGGGGCAGACTCAGGACCAGACCTGGACGCAGCAGCAAACACCTGACCCGACGCTGCTACCTGACCGGACGCGGGGACAGGAGGAGACTCAGTGGTCAGGGTGTAGAGGCTCGACCCCGGCCGACGCGAGAACGTGGCCAGGTGCCGGCCTGTGCGTGCGTCCGTGCAGTGGGTCACCCGCTGACTCGCAGGAGTGAACTGGTGAACCCCCGCATCCTGTAGGTCTGCACCACTCACCAAGTTCGTCGAGAACGAGGGGAGGTACAGGCCAGACAGGGTGCCCGAGGGGGCAGCCGGACACGGGAGGACAGTGGAGAAGTGAGCGAGGACAGGACCCCCAGAGGGGTCAGCCAGGGAGACAGCAACCGGCCGACCAAGCGGCGTGAGTGTGGTGCGGTCCCGAAAGAAGGAGCGAGAAGCCCCAGAGTCAAGTGTAAAGGTGAGGGAGGCCGAAGCCAACGCGGTACCTGAGAGCGCAGCCTCACCCGCACCTGAGGAAGCAGACTCACTAGCACCTAGAGCAGCAGCCGCACCTGTACCTGGAGCAGGAGACTCACGAGCACCCAGAGCAGCAGCCTCACCAGTAGCTAGAGCAGCAGGTCCTATACCTGGGTCAGGCGGGACGCACAGGTGACCGGCACGGTCAGCACTAGTAGGCAATGCATACATGGCAGTGAGAATAGCATCATAGTCAAGAGCATATATATCAACCCTCTGCCTAAGCAACTCCACCCAGTCGGGAAGCTCAGCCTCGTCGCCAAACACGGTACGCCAGGCGTCGCTCAGACGGGCGAAGCAGCGGGACGGTGTATGACTACGTGTCCCACAAGGCTGACCAGTCCGAGTACCAGTGCGTATCACGTAAGAGCAGCGAACAGCACTGAGAGACCCTCCACTCTGAGCGTACCACTCACGAAGCTGGCGAGGCGTGAGAGACACGCGAGAGGGTCGCGGGAGCTGCATCTGGCCGCCACCACGAGTAGAAGCAGCAGGAGTGGTAGTAGGAGTAGCGCCGCCACCCCTACAGCCCCAACCAGCGTACCACTCACGCAGCTGCTGGGGCGTGAGGGACTCACGCAGGCGTCGCTGGGGCTGCATCTGGCTCCGCAAGTAGAAGCAGGAGCAGGACTAGCAGCAGGAAGGCAGGCAGCCAGGCAAGCCAAAAGGCAGGCAGGCAGGCAAGCAGGCGACGCGCAGCGTGCTAGCAGGGCAAGAGCTCACCAGTGGTGGGAAGAGTAGGCTCGGCGACTCAGCGGCTCGGCAGCTCGGCGGCTCGGCGGCTCGGGCGACTCGGGCGGCTCGGCGGCAAGGCGGCTCGACAGCAACTGCAGCTCAGCAGCTCGGTGACTCGGCGGCTCGGCGGCAGGGCGGCTCGGCAGCAACTGCAGCTCAGCAGCTCAGCGACCCGGCGGCTCGGCGGCAGGGCGGCTCGGCTGCTGGGCGGCTCGGGTGCAGGGCGGCTCGGCGGTGGGGCGGCTCGGCTGCTGCAGGTGAGCGGCTCGGCTGCTGCAGTGGGAGATGAAGGAGGAGGAGAAGCAGGGGAGGCCACACACCTGACACCCCTCTGCTGGCCTCTCAGGTCGCCTCGACAGGCGACGGGAAAAGGGGGGGGGGGGAGGGGGGTGGTGGGGGCCGGTAGGTGCAGCGGCGGGGCCAGCAGGTGCAGTTGCGGGGCCGGTAGAAGGGGACGGCAGGAGCCGTCAGGAGGGGACGGCGGGGCCGTCAGGAAGGGACGGCGGGGCCGTCACGAAGGGACGGCGGGGCCGTCAGGAGGCGACCGGGCCGCGAAGGGGCGGCTGGGCCGGGATGGGGCGGGGCCGCGACGGAGGCAGGCGGCGGGGCCGCGTAAGGGCCTGGGCGGGGCCGCGACAGAGCCGTCAGCGGGGCCGCGTGAAAGCCGGGGCGGGGCCGCGTAGAAGCCGGGGCGGGGCCGCGCGAGAGCAGGCGGCGGGGCCGCGAAGGAGCCGGGGCGGGGCCGCGTGAGAGCAGGCGGCGGGGCCGAGTAAGGGCCTGGGCGGGGCCGCGACAAAGCCGTCGGCGGGGCCGCGTGAAAGTCGGGGCGGGGCCGCGTAGAAGCCGGGGCGGGGCCGCGCGAGAGCAGGCGGCGGGGTCGCGAAGGAGCCGGGGCGGGGCCGCGTGAGAGCAGGCGGCGGGGCCGCGTAAAGGCCGGGGCGGGGCCGCGACAGAGCCGGCGGCGGGGCCGCGTGAAAGCCGGCGACGGGGCCGCGTAAGGGCCGGCGGCGGGGCCGCGTCAGTGAAGGCGGCGGGGCCGCAGGGGAAATGGCGACCCGAGGGGTCGCTAAAAAAAAATCGCGCCTCGGGGGGCGCTTCGGTGGGCCCAAAAAAACGGTCCTTAGAAGGACCCGCTCTATACCATGTGATAATAAGCAAACAGGAATGAAATGACTAAGTCAGGGTTGGGTACAAATACAACCCTAGAAAGCTGTACCCCATATGTGCTACCCCACTATAGCCTACAAACATGCATCAGCTATAGTAATCTGACAAGTCCATGGCGGGTCCTCGCAGCAACGACACAGCGTATCGAATCTTCGCCGAGTCCTCCGAGACGTAGTTGGCATCGAAGAAGACATTCATCGTGAACAACCACGCCTGAACGGTAGGACTACCCCGTTGACTCGGGTCAAAGCATGGCGGGCGCTGCGGCTTCAGCGGCATCGGTGACGGCAGTCCCGAATCGTGGGTTGGTGCCGAAATCGTGACGCGAGGCTGACTTGGGGCCGCAGGTGTCGCTCTGGGGTGTGTCGTGCCGTGGTCGTCGTCTCCGTCGGGGCGGACGACGCCATCACTGGCCGCGCTCGCGGGTTGCCCCACACTCCCGTGTTGTGATGTTGAGGGTGCGGGTTGAATCGGAGTGCCAGGTGTTTGAGATTGTGCTCTCATGAGGTCATTTTGCAGTGATGAGCGTTCTGCCGTCAATGCCGCGATTTCCTCGGAGCTTTCGTGCAGTTGTCGCAGCAGATCGTTCAAACGCTCCTGCGTGAGAGTGGTGACGTCGATGTTTTCGGCCATGACGAAGGGCGTCGGCTCGTCTTAGTCTAGGCGCAGTCGTGGCTGCACGCGTTTACGAGAGAACGCGAGGACAGCGGCTCCTAGGGGCTAAGGTGCGTGAGTCCCTTCGAGTGAAAAATCAAAAGTTGATTTCCTGGTGTGCGGAGATGCGCGGTCCGAAAGAAAGGGGCTCTGATACCAAGTGTTACGGGTGCAATGAATCGAGGTAGCGAGAATTGCACTAAGGTGTCAAACGAGTACAAAATGTGAGCGAAGGCATGAGCGAACATTTATACGCGAAACATGCAAAACGGTAACGCGGTGCGTGCGAGCTTGCTAGTGCTACGCTGGAGCGAGGCTCGGGCTAGTCCCGAAGCGTAGGCCGATACGGCCATGCCAGCAGTGCGAGGTTTGACAAAACAGTGCGCGCGAAGTCGGCGAAGTCCCGTTAGCAGTAACGGGCGAACAATCGGCTGTTGCTGTACGCGATGTAGTCGGCTCCGTAAGGAATGCCGAGAAAATTCCTTACAGAAACTCTTCCCAAACCACTAACCGCGAAACCTAACTAGCTCCAAGCTGTACCAGGCCAAACCAGCCGCAAGCCATACGAAACCAACCTAGTTGGCTGCGATCTTATGACGAGCCTGGTTTCCGTGCTGTCAAACAAGGCCTGCTCAACTCTCGATTCACAACCACCATCACCAGCAACTCTTGATTCACAAGCAGCAGCTCTCACAAGCTCTGACCACTCTTCCATTAGGGCGCGTTTGTTCCGTTTCCAAGTTCGAACTTTAGGTGGTTACCTTTTTCGCCAATCTCGTCAAGAGCGTGTGACGAACATCGCGAATTTCAGGGCTAATGAAAGTTCGAACTTGAAATGGAACATGACTCGAGTTGGCGTTGTGAACGTGCGTGAGCACGTTCATGTGAGCGTGTGTGTTTTCGGCACGTACGAACACCATGCGAAATTGACGACTTCATCGCGAAACATACAATGGCATTAATTTGGCTTGGCAAGCATGTACCGGGTAACATAAAGCTCGAATTCTGGTGTTCGACCTTGCGTGTGTGATTGCATCTTTGCAGTGTTATTCTCGCAATTTTTGAACTTCGCTACAAGGAAAGTCGAATTCCATTCGACTTAGGTTCAAAAAAATTATCGCCCCCAAAACATGAACGTTGTCCAATTTGACGGAACGAACGCGCCCTTAGAACAACTCTCATGTTGCCTACTTCTCAGCTAGCATCCAAGGAGAACATGAAGCAAACTCCAGCGGAAACATCTCAGCAGCCTTTTGCTCAGGCTGCAAACCAGCCGTTTTTAGTGGCGCAGCAGAAAATGATTCGTGGCGATATCTTTTCCTGTATTTCTGACGACCTGCTGGGTGTGATCCTTCGTTCCGTTGCGTCTAACGGCAATGATTTCGACTGCAATGAGTCGCTCGCTAATAACGAGGACATTCTTCAGAAGAAAATCGAGGATGCATTGCAGAAGCCGCCGCCATGCGACAGCCAGCAGTTAGGCACGACTAAGGTCCCTCCTTCCGAGACTTGTTCTTTAGTCACGTTCAGCCACGCTCTGGTCTGCAAGCGATGGCTGCGCGTCGCCAGCTCAGTGCATCCCGCGATCATCGTGCCGCGCAACCGCTTCTTCTCCGCACGAGCTTTCTCCTCCCTCCTGGCTCCACCAAAATCTGGGTTCGCGAATCTTAGTCACCTGCATTTTGGCGAGTTCGCGTTCGACTCCATTGACAGCAACCTCGTGCGATCCATTTGCACCGGATGCGGCCCGTCCCTCACGCATCTCACGATGCACCTGTACGATCGATGGTTCTCGCGATCCAGCAGCAGACGCCATGGACAGTCGACCACCCTCGTACCGTCCGATGTTGCCGCCATCTTTGAATCCTGCTCGCGATTGGTCGATCTCCAGCTGGACGGCGTTCAGGAGATTCCGGCTGCCATCAGCCGTCTGCAGCAGCTCACGAGGCTCAGCGTGAGGTTAAGCTAAGGCGTTACCGGGTTACCAGAGGAGTTCGGCAGGCTGGTAGGGCTTAACGATTTGCAACTTCATACGGGGTTTTCGTTTCATGAGCCACCTGATCCCATATGCTATCTCAGCTCCCTCGAGGGCCTCAGCTTCAGCGACTCCCACATTTTCCATCTGCCCAGTAATTTGGGGCAGCTCCAAAATCTGAAGTTCATCAGCCTCATGTTTCTAGCAGAAGTTTCTGAACTGCCAGATTTGATCTGCGATCTTTCAAGCCTTTTGCGCCTTTCTCTCAGCCATTGCCCGCAGCTGACCAGGCTGCCCGAAAACCTTCACCAACTGCCCAATCTGGACACAGTGGAGCTGAATGGACTGATGGCTTTGACAGCATTACCTGAGAGTATTGGCCAGCTGCCAGCTCTACAGGAATTATGCATTCACACCTGCTCGCGACTGACGCAACTGCCAGGCTCCCTATCTAGCAGCCAGACTCTCCGTCGCCTCACAGTCGACAACTGCCCTGACATGGTCTCGCTACCCGAAGACATCGGCCAGATTGCAACTCTCCAGTACCTGCACCTCGACTCCCTTGATGAGCTCAATGTGCTTCCCGACTCCGTTGGCCTGCTCTCTGGCATTAAGGAGCTGAAGATCGTTGACTGCTCCGAGTTGGAGGGTTTCCCGCAGTCTGTTTCGGCCATGGAGTCTCTCACCTGCCTCGTTCTCGACGGCTGTGCTGTAAATGCGTTGCCCGAAGACATTGGGCAGCTTCAAAACTTGACATTCATGAAGCTGTCTTGCACCGGACTCATGGAGCTGCTGGAATTTTTTGGGCAGCTTGGGAAGCTGAGGGAGCTGATTTTGCATGCGTGCTACGACCTGGCTGAGCTCCCAGCCTCCTTCTCTAACCTCTCTTCACTGGAAACGCTGGAGATCTACGGTGGAACCTCTCTTGAAAAGCTGCCTTTGGGGTTTGAGCAGCTGCCGCAGCTGAGGAGATTGGAGCTGTTTAACTGCTCCATCAGCAAATTGCCTGACAATTTTGGAGACTTGGCGAACTTGAAAGAGTTCAAGATTGGTACCAAGGATACTTACACCAGGAGAGGGTTTAACGTTGACAGGAGTTTGGAAGCAGAGGCTGTTTCTGAGTCTGACTTACGCGGTTCATGTGCACTTCTTAGGTTTCCACGGTCCTTGGTTCGCCTCCCCCGTCTGGAGCAGTTGATTATCGACAGATGCGAGCTGCTACAGGGGCTACCAAGAGGCATGGGCAACCTGTCCAGCCTCTAAGTGCTTGAGGTGATGAACTGCAAGAATCTCGGTGTCATCCCATCCTTCTTGCCTGATGGCACCCAACCCCTTGAAGCAGGTCCGAGTGTTGCTGCTGCTGTTGCTGCTGCTACTGCTGCTGCTGCTGCTGACACTGCATGTGCTTCCGGCGCCCATCCTTGCCCCGCTGCTGCTAGCCTCATTCCTTTCCCATCGCTCCAGCGCCTGAAAATCGCTGGCTGCTGCAATCTGGAGTTCCTCCCAAAGGGCTTCGATGAGCTGCCTAGGCTGGAGGATTTCACGCTTGCAGACTGCAAATATCCAAGATTTGCCGACCAGCTCGTTTGGCTTGACACTGAACTGTTCGACCCCTGCCTCTTTGTGCACCTATAACCCTTCCATGCTCCCTGACATCTGTTTCCATTTCCAACACCTTTGAGCTCGCTCGCTACCTCCCAGAGTCCTTTCTTTCCCTCAGCCGCCTTACTAATCTGAAGATTCGAGGCCTCCGATCCCTCAAGCAGCTTATAGCCCCTCCGAACTCACACCAAATTCCAACGGAAAGGGAGGGGGGAGCCACACCTCATGTTCCGCTTGAGGTCACCAGTCCTCTCCCAATATCCATCATGCAAGCTAGATTGGAGCCCCTATCCTCTCTCACCTGCCTCCACATCAGCCATACCAGTTTGCCTTCGCTACCAGATAACCTGAGCGACCTGAGAGAGCTGAAAGTACTCCTTCTCAAGGACTTCCCCGCCATGTCACTGCTTCTTGCCTGCCTGCCCGACCTTTCCAATCTTGAACAGTTGACCATCAAGTCTCTCCCGCTACTTACCCACCTGCCCGATAACCTTGGGCAGCTGAGGGCCATCAAATTGCATGTGCATTCATGCAAGGACTTGCAAGGCCTTCCTCCTTCCCTCACCCGCATGGCCTCCCTCATATCCCTGAGCATCGTTGACTGTCCCCGGATCACCAGCCTCCCAGATTCCATCTCCTCCCTCTCCCACCTCGCATCTCTGACGCTCAACCACCTGCCTGGTCTGCACCACGTTCCGCCCACTCTCCCCCTCCTCCCGTCCCTTGTCAAACTTTCGCTACGAGGGTGCACTGGATTACATGCGTTATCCAACGACTTGGGCAGTTTGTCCTGTCTGAGGGAGGTGGATCTGGATGGGTGCTCGCAGCTAGAGGTGCTGCCACAGTCGCTTCTGGACAGGCAAAATGTGATTGAAGTGAAGGGCATCTGAGGAAGTGCTGGGAGTTGAAGTGCTGCGGATGGGATGGGGTTGCGGGCGCCAGGCGGAACCAGGAGGGGCAGACGCATTCACAAGGTTAGGGACAAGGAGCGAGGCAGAGGCAGCAGCAGGTGCCACAGCAGCAGCAGCAGGTGCCACAGCAGCAGCAGTAGTTGCCACAGCAGCAGCAACAGGTGCCACTGCAGCAGCAGCAGGTGCCACTGCAGCAGCAGCAGGGGGCAGGGAAGTTCCAGCTACAGCGGGAGCAGGTGCAGCAGCTGGTGTAGGTACAGCAGGCGCTGCAGCAGCAGATGAGCCCCACTCTGATGCATCAGGCGCAGCACATGCTGGCTCAGCTACAGCCGCAGCTGCAGGCCATGCCGGGCGCAGCAGGAGCAGGAGCAGGGGCACGAGCACGGGAAACCTGCGCACTGTTCACCCTGCGCGTTGTTCACGGGTAAGTGGGCTGCTTGATGCTCATAAGTGACTGGTGGATGGGCGAGGTGAAGCTGGGTGAGGCTGCTGGGTGGCTTGGGGCCGTGTCCTTCCCCAGGGACGAGCTCAGGTCAGTATTGGGTGATTCAGCTGTATTCAAAGTTGACTGCCCTGCGTCTGAACGCCCTGTGGTGGTGCCAATTAGGAACTCTTTAAGGGACTATTCTGGCAATTCGAGACCAGCTAGGACTGTCGCTCTGGAACCATCATTCCTTCTCCCGCACCTCCTATCACTCAACACCTCTCTCTCACACTCACCTCACCGACGGTTCCCATTGGACCCTCTTTGTCTGAACAACCCCATGTGTGCATAGTGCAACCATCACTCTCCATCACTGTCCCCTCTAACATCCACCTTGCAATTTCATATCACTGCTACCTCTCTCGCTCTCTCTCTAGCCACCCATCCAATCACCCACCAGGTGTGCATGTCCATCCAATAGCATTTCTCATTAGGGTCCTTCACCCACCTCACTCTCTTTTCCTCTGGCCACCCTTCCCCCCAACCCAATCACCCTCCAGGTGTGCATAGCCCAACCAGTAGCATCCGTCTCTGTCGCCTCTACACTCACAGGCCGATCAACGGTCGCTGATCCCTACATTGAGTTGAGTGGTGCCTTGTACCGAACCTGCCTCTACCGAATCAGGTCTGTGCTCTCATTGGTCACCTGGCTCCCCCCAACTGCCATTGGCACTGTCTCTTGTGTCGATCCTTTCAATATGGAGAGGGATTGTCTCTTGATCTCATCACTCCAATGATCTTATCCCCCTTTCAAGGGCGGTGGTGTCATGTGCGTGGCTCTTTCTCCCCTCGCCCTCCCCTACTCGCTTCCTACTTACTCACTTCCATTCCACCTTTCTTTCCAGCCTCCCCACACCCAAGCCCTGGCCAACATGAGTGCAGTCCCTAACTGTCCCTGCCCTACCATCCACATCATCACCCTCCTACCCTACCCATTCCCCCTTAACCCGCACAGCCACTACCCGATAGGTGCGAAGCCAAGTTCACCACCACTGTAACAGTGAGCAGGAGCCTCTCTGAAAAGTGGATCGGCTCTCTTGAATTGGCCGCTTTCCCAGCCTGTGTGCTCTGCCTCGTATGGCCCTTCATCATCATTCTCGCCTTTCCTACCTTTCCGTGCACTGTCTGTCTACCCTGCCGTACCCCTCCCTCCCCTCTGCTGGCTGTATTTGCCAGGTGGAAAGTGTCAAATGTTGGTAGCCTGTAGTGAGGTTTGTCTTAGGGGGTACGTATGTTAGGGTTTGCTACTTGTACCCCAACCACCATCAATGAACCAACACTTGCGATTTTGACATGGTATCACCTAGGTTAGGATCCTGTAGGATCCCGTTCCTCCCGACCTCGTTCGTATCGCCCGAGCCTGTCTCCCTCTCTCGTATTACTTGCGCACGTCTTGCCCGAGCCTAGCGCCGGCCCGCTCTCGTCCCGTTCCTTCGTTACCGCCCGTTCCGCCGATCCCCTACTCGAGTAGTGTAGCGACCTTCCTCCCCCCTGCTGGCCCGTCACGTTTTCCCCCCTCCGAGGCCCGTCGAGTCGCGTTTTTCCCCCCGCAGCCCGTCGAGTCGCGTTTCCCCCCCTGCTACCCGTCGAATCGCGCTCTCCCCGCCCGTCGTCCCGTCGCCCGTCCCCCCCTTACGCGCGCTGCCGCTGCGCCTTCTCCCGTCGCCCGCCGTCACGCCCGCAGCCTGCGCCCGTCGCCGCGGCGCCCGCCGTCGCTGCCCGCCGCGGCGCCCGACGTCGCGCCCGCAGCCTGCGCCCGTCGCCGCGGCGCCCGCCTTCGCTGCTCGTCGCGTCGCGCGCGGCTGCCCTTAGCCCCCGCGCGGCTGCCCCTTAACGCCCGCCCCCGCGCCCGATCGGCTGCCCTTAGCCCCCGCGCGGCTGCCCATTAACGCCCCCCCCCCCCCGTTTAGCTGCGCCTGTGCCTCGTTTAGGGTTTCCCGCTTCGCCCTTTGCCCGCCCGAGTTTCGTCACGCCACCTCGTTTAGGGTTTCCTGCCTCCGCTTTTCCGTCAGTTTTCACTATGGCGACTCCGCGTGTACTTCGTTTCGACGCTGACGGTAGACCTCTTGACTTTTCACTCTGGCTTCTGCGCGCTCGCCGTCAGTTAGAGAGTCAGGTCCAGTCAGGTGAGACCCTCTGGGCGCACGCTACTGGTGCCCTCCCTGCGCCTCCCGAGCCTACGCCTTTAGGTCCTGCCCCTGACGACGCCGCTAGAGCTCGCTTCGCTAGCCAGCGCGCTGACCTGACAGCTTGGACGTCGCGTGACGCTGCGGCCTGCATCGCGCTCAGCACCCTCCTCTCTGAGTCTGAGGAGGCTCACTTTGCTCAGGTTCGCACTGCTGCTGAGTACCTGACCGCGATTAAGGCCCGCTACTCCACTCCTGCTGCTGTCTCTCTTGGCCGCCTTTTCCTCCCGTTCCTGTTCCCTGATCTCGCCTCATTTGAGCGCTCTGCTGACTTGATTGCTCACCTCCGTCTCTGCTCTTACTGCCACGGTCACTGAGTTTGCCTCTACTCGCCGCCTTGACTACGCCACCACTCTTGTGGCTGCTCCTCCTACCAGTCCTCTGGCCGTCGGGGGTGTGTCTGCCTTTGGCTGTGACGTCCTAGAGGACAGGCAGTTTGAGCTAGAGTTCCTGGTAGCCGTTTCCCCTCATCTCTGTGCCATGCTCCTAACCCCTGAGGGTGACCCCGACGCCCTTGACATTACGACTCCTCGCACTTACGCTGAGGCAGTGTCAGGACCTTGGGCCTCTCAGTAAAGAGCTGCCATGGACGCAGAGATGGCCTCTTACAGATCCACAGGCACCTACGTCGATGAGGTTCCTCCCCCTGGGACGAACATAGTCGATGGCATGTGGATCTACAGGGTGAAGCGGCCACCAGGATCTCCTCCAGTCTTCAAGGCGCGCTACGTTGCTAGAGGTTTCAGTCAGCGCGAGGGAGTTGACTTCTTTCAGACCTTCGCGCCCACTCCGAAGATGACCACTCTTCGGGTGTTACTGCACGTAGCAGCACAGAGAGACTACGAGTTACACTCTCTCGACTTCTCCACTGCTTTTCTTCAGGGCAGCCTACACGAGGAGGTCTGGCTGCGTCGTCCCTCTGCCTTCACTGGCACTTTCCCTCCTGGGACCCAGTGGAGGCTGAGGCGACATGTCTACGGTCTTCGCCAGGCCCCTCGTGAGTGGCACGACACTCTCCGCTCTACCCTCTCTGACCTTGGGTTTCAGCCGTCTTCTGCCGACCCGTCGCTGTTCGTTTGTCGTGGCTCCACACCGTTCTTCGTTCTGGTTTACGTCGACGACCTAGTTTTCGCCACTGCTGACAGGGTTGCTTTGGCAGACGTGAAGTCCGAACTGCAGAAGAGACAGACGTGCACTGACCTTGGTGAGCTGCGTCATTACCTTGGGCTGCAGATCACCAGGGACAGAGCTGCTCGCACCATTACACTCTCACAGTCACACATGGTGCAGCAGGTCCTTCAGCGGTTCGAGCTTCAGCACTCCACAGTACAGCGCACACCTCTTGCTGTTGACCACAGACTCACTGGCCCTTTTCCGGACGAGCCGTTTGAGCCTAGTGGTCCCTACGCAGAGCTTGTGGGTTGCCTCATGTACCTGATGACTTGTACTCGCCCGGACCTCGCTTTCCCTCTCAGCATCCTTGCGCGCTTTGTTGCGCCAGGGAGACACCGTCCTGTTCACTGGACAGCAGCTGTGAGGGTGGCGAAGTACCTAGCGACGACATCAGGCGTGGGGCTAGTTCTTGGAGGGCAGCAGTCTGTTGTACTTACTGGTCACTGTGACTCTTCTTACGCTGACGACGCTGAGACTCACAGGTCTACTCAGGGGTACTGTTTCAGTCTGGGTTCTGGAGCTGTTTCCTGGCGGTCCACGCGCTCCTCTTCGGTCTCGACCTCTACAGCTGAGGCAAAGATCTACGCTGGTGCCATGGCTGCACAGGAGCTGCGTTGGTTGACGTTTTTGCTCGCCGACCTGGGTGAGCGGCCGAGCTCTGCACTGACCTTGTTCACTAACAACAAGGCATCGATTCTCCTTTGTCGAGAGCCACGACTAGAGAGCAGAGTGAAGCACATTAACGTCAGGTACTTCCTTCTGCGAGAGTTGCAGAGACGTGGGCAGGCTCGCTTCGAGTTTGTAGAGTCTGAGGCCAACACTGCAGACATCTTCACCAATGCGCTTCCGCCTTGTGACCACCACAGGTGTTGTGTGCAGTTAGGCCTTGTTGACACTGGTTTTTGGCTTACTTAGTCTTGAGTTCACTGTTTGCTTTGCTTGTACCCTTTCTATATATCTCTGTTATTGCTTGGACTGGCTTGTGGCCATTGTTGCTTGTGCTCAGAGTGTGTGGTGACGTTGTGATCCACCTTGAGTTTTGTTTCTTTGTGACTGGTCTTATGACCGTACTCTTTTGGTTTTGCTAGACACCCCTCACTTAGGCTATGGGGGTGTGTCAAATGTTGGTAGCCTGTAGTGAGGTTTGTCTTAGGGGGTACGTATGTTAGGGTTTGCTACTTGTACCCCAACCACCATCAATGAACCAACACTTCCGATTTTGACAGAAAGCCAACCCAAACTCCTTCTGAACGCCTTCTGAAGTCAACTTAAAAGTCGCGTTGTTTCTACCAGCAGTCTGTCACTGCTGCTTCCCAAGAGAGACGGCCTGTAACCTGTTCCTTTGGTTGCTGACCACGGAAGTGGAAGGCACCAACTGGCATGATGACAAGAAGCTTTGGCATTTCCAGCTTGCAGCTGATGTTATGTGGTGTGGTCCCGATCTATGAAGTTTCATTTGGTGAATTTCCGTTGGCCTCCATGCTCTCTTATATTTTGGTTAACACCAACATGCATTAACCTCCAGCAGTCACTGGCAAACGCATAGTAGCATCGCTGCAAGAATTGTCCAAATGACCCGAGGATTGTTCTCGGTAAATATTGTTACAGAAAATGTGTAGTAGACGCAGAAGATGATCTCTGGCGGCATGATGCATGGATGAAAGTGTGCTAGATGCCTGGTTGCATGATTATTCCATGCTGAATGACGCAGGGGATGTGCAACAATCTACGACAACAGATTTACTGCACAACTTCACAATGGCCTATACAAGCAGTCCACAGGCATGTTGCAGCCATTGTACACATTGCTCGCCACAGTACTGGGGGCAGCACAGGAGTTGGCCTGCCAACACAGAGGCATGACTGAGTGGGATGAAAAGGCATGGGTGGGTTGAAAAGGCTTGGGTTGTATCTAAAGGCATCGGTGGGGTGGGAAGGCATGGGTGGGACGAAAAGGCATGGGTGGGACGAAAAGGCACGGGAGGGACAGAAAGGCATGGTTCGGCTGAAAAGGCATGGGTGGAATGAAATTTGAAAAGGTGGTGGGGTGAAAAGGCAAAGTGAGTTGAAAGGGCATGGGTGGGTTTAAAAGCTATTGGTGGGTTGAAAAGGCATGGGTGGGATGAAAGGCATGGGTGGGATGGAATGGCATGGGTGGGATGGAATGCATGGGATGCTTTAAGGCTAGGGAGGGTTGATACGGCCAGGCCACGGTGGGATGAAGAATGCAAAACCGCTGGGAAGAAGCAAACGCAACAGTGGGGATTGGAGGCCCTGAGGATGAGAAGCTTTTTGCTGATGTCATCGAATGGCACATACAGGAGTGCACGATACACAGGACTGAAAATAATTGGAGGAAATGACAGGAGTGGGGGAGAATGAGAGGAGTGGGGGTTTCGAGATGAGTGGGGGATCCGAGAGGAGTGGGGTTGATGAAACGAGTGGGGTTGATGAGAAGAGTGTGAGCTATGACAGGAGTGATGATATAAGAGGAGTGTGGGATGAAATAAGAGTGGAGGATATGAGAGTGAGCATGAGCGCAGGGTTGGCCCGACCAGACTTGACCTGGCTCTGCTCAGGCCGGATCGGTCGGGTCGACCCAGGTTAATCCAGCTTGAGTATTCGCGTGATCTGACCATGGTTTACAGAGTATTAGCCCTAGAGCTTTCAGTTCGGCATATACCGTGGGACTGGTCTGGTCGGGCGTACCCGAGAGCCAGGTCGGGTCGGGTGGGGTGGACCTGGTCGGGTTGAGCCGTTGCTCACCCCTCAACAAGAAATGATGTGAGCCGTTGCTCATGCCTGAGAGGTGTGGGTGGCACGATAGGAGTGGGGGGTAGGAGGGGAGTGGGGGGTTTGAGAGGAATTGGGGTAATGAGAGGAGTGGGATGAGGTGTATGAGAGGAGTGGGGGAAAATAAAATGCCGGTATCAGAATGCGTATCTTAGAGTGAAGATTTTACAACGCACATTTGAAAATGCATGGAACTCTTAGAATGCAGACCTCTGAATGCACATTTCAGAAATGCGTACAGTAGTATGCATCTTGGTATTCATAACTCATAATGCCTATCGCAAAATCACCTATCATAGTCTCTCAGAAGTCATTACCCACAATGAATGCACACCTCAGAATAGATAACTTAGAATGCATATCTTAAAATGCATATCTTAGAATGCAAAATTCCATATGTGTCCTCTGAAAGAACTCCGGATGCATCTCTCAGCGTGCATAGCTTATAGACCATAACTCAGAAGAATGCAAATGCCAGATTGCGTATCTCAGAGTGCACGTTTCAGAATTACGTCTGGCGGAATGCATCCCGCAGCACCAGCATGCATTTTTCAAAGATCGTCTGTCAGAATGAATCCCAGAATGCAATTTCCACAATGCCCCATCATCATCCAAGCTTGACTATCATATGTTTCATGTATGGTTATGCGCATGCACACAGTTAACCATGCATGCATATTTTCTAGCACAGACGGCGCTTCGTAAAAACTACTGTAACATTACCCTGGCTTTTCACACCTGATTGGAGCTTGAGTGAAGGTGACAGCTCGCCTGGAGCCTCAAAAACCGCAGCAGTGCCGTGAAGCTTCTTCAACACGTATCATGCAGGTTCACAAATAGCAACCAAGCTCTTTGCTGCATGCACAAACATTGCTCGTTCCCCTTCCCTCCCAGACCCCTCTTCACAGTCTTGCTCAATCCAACCCTCCGTTTCTCCTTACCCCCACCTTTGAGAAGATTCAGGCAAAATTCTAACTGCCATGCCATGGGGAAATTTGCAAGCCATTGGTCATCCACACTAACCTTCGATCATGTCGTGTCTACTGTCCCCCTGGTAGCACTCAACTGACTTCCTCCCGGTATGTTTGTCAGCATTATTGTTTGTTTGGTGCCTGTGGAATGGTGAAACCAGTGAAGCTAACAAGCACAGCAGGTTCGTCTGTGCACCATGCGTACAAAGGAAGTGAATACATCATATTTCTCACTAGCATCTAGATAGAAACGGTGGCTGCTAGCAAAGCAAGTTCACAGAGGAGGCCAGGCATCTACCATGCCATGCCGCACTCACTTTGATGTGCCTGCTATCTGATAACAGACAGCAGCCTTTGTCTGGGATACTGCAGTACCTTCAGCCGAGTCAAGCCCATGGAAAACGGCTCCAGCTGAAGGCATCCCGGTTATCGAAAGTGGCTGCAAATTGAGAGGAACGGAGCGGATGGAGGTGCGATGCAGTATCAGCCGGTGAGAGATTTCGGGAGGTGCTGCAAGGCATTGCAGCGAATCAGCTCCAGTTTGCGAATCAGCACCGAGACAAGCACACGCCATGAGGTAGCGTTAAGCCTAAATGACTTCAGCTCCTGACAAACCAAGCAGCAGAAAACGGTAGTGTATGCAAGTCAACGTTTTCATCTCCCCTGGTTTAAACTCAAGACATATTTTCAAGCCAGAGCTGTCGGCACTGAGACATTGGAAGCAGGTTCAAAGGACACCTCGAAACCGGTTATCAATAATCAGACAGAGCATCTTCACAACATTCAACAGGGAGCAGGTACCCGAGGGGGGTTTGAAGCTGTCAACTAACCCAGCCAAGCTTTCAAACCAGCCGCACGAAATTTGCAGGAACGGAACGGATGGCGGAATTATAGAGCACCAGCTGGTGCAACTGCTTGAGAAAGTTCGGGAGATGCTGCAAGGCGTTGCAGTCAATCAGCTCCAGTTTGCGCAGCCGAGACAAGCGGCTCATGCCCTGAGGTAGCGACACCAGATGAGGTGCTTGAACCCGTAGTGACGTCAGCGAGCTGAGCTCCAGTATGCTTCCTGGCAGATTCTCCGGTGTCCAAGAACGAAGCTCCAGCTGCAGCAGCTGCGGCAACGACGCCGCCATGCTTTCCGGGAGGCTGCAAAACCCCGGCGCCTCAATCAGCAAGCTGCGCAGGCGAGGGAGAAAGGTCAGGGGGACTGGTAGCTCGCGACTGCCTCCTTCCAAATGCATCTCCAGCTGCTCCAAACCCGACAGCATGCTGCTCACTGCAGGCCCGCAGATCACCCCAACGCGGTTCAGCTTCAGCACCCTCAGCTGCGACAGCTCAGAAATGTCCACAAAATGGTAAGCGCCCTCCATGAAGGGCCCCAGGCAGAGTGCCTCAAGAGAGGGCGGGAAACCTGCAGGGGTGATGCTCAACTGCTCACACTCCGTCAGCTCCAGCCTCTTGAGCCCCACGAGCGTATCCAGCCGAAAGGGTACTTCTGAGAGTGTCCTGCAGCCAGTAACCTCCAAGCTCTGAAGCCTCAAAAGGTGCATCAGTGAGGTAGGAAGCGTTCTGATTACAGAATCAATAATCTTCAGCTCCTGTAGGCTGCTGAGCTCCCCCAAGGCTTCCGCATCACTTAAGCTGCATCCATTCAGCTCAAGGATCGTGAGGGAACAGAAATCGGTGAAGGAAGTCGGGAGGGGCGTGCCATTCAACCTGAGAGCCTTCAGGGATGCAAGGCCCCCAACGTCCTCTGGCAAGGCAAGTCCCAAGCTTAAGTCAAGCACCTTGAGAGCTGTGAGGCGCGAAAACCCAGCCGAAAACTGCCGAATGTGGTAGCAGTGAAGTATTGAGAGTTTCTCGAGAGATGTGAGATAAGAGAAGGAAGGAGGGAGTTCGGTGAGAGAGGACAAAGATTCTAGCACCAGCACTTTGAGGGCATGCAGATGACCGAAGTTGCTGGGTAAGATAAATGGGCCAGAATGGGATATAATGAGCGTTTCCAGACGGCTCAGAGAAACGAAGCTCTCAGGCAGGTGAGCAAAATCTATGCAAGCGCGAATGGTCAGCTTGCGAAGGCACGGCAGCAGGTCATCAATGTGGTCAGGAAGACTTTCGAGCTCACTGCAGTGGGTGATGAGCAGCTCCTCTAGCCCGGTGAACGGCGATGCAGATGGGAAGATGGTGTTGAAGCCAGGACACGAACGGTGAAAGTTGAGTGATTTCAAGCAAGACGGCAGGGTCATGATTCCAGCATCCGCCGGCTGAAGGGTTGGGTGAGGGCCGAGGTTGAAGAGATGGGCGAGCCGTGGGAGGTGAAAGAGGGTGGACAAGTGCCGATGGTTTATGGAAAAGGTGATGTAAAGGGTGGTAAGGCTGGTGAGGTTGGTGAAACCGGGATTCTCCAAAGTTGAAGAGTCGGTGAGAAGAAAGGTGTGCAAGTGCGTCAACCGAAAAACGGAATTCAGTAGCTTCGTTTCTCGGGGGAGGCAGAAGAGGGTAACCAGCTCCAATTTGGGAAGCTTTTTAAAGAAACGATCCAGGCCCTTGATAGTTATCTGATGCTCCTTCCTACGATAAACCTTCATCCACCCAAACATTGGAAATTGCCGTGCAAAGTTCCTCCCCACGTGGAGGCGAGTCAGCTTCGGGCATGATGAAGCTAGGTGAGCAAGGAACGCATCGTTAAGCGGCTCGACGCTGTTGTCGCTGATATGCAGATGGATGAGGTTGGGGAAGCACGCGACGGCGGCTGAGAGATCTTCGCGGGACACAAGAAGGTCCTCTTTCACGAGCAGCGTCGTCACATGACGCTTCGCCAGGCGACGCCAACGACGGCAGATGGACGAGATGAGGAGATTCTGGGCGACGCCTGCAACCGACGGCGGGGCTGGTACCTCCGTGACAATGAAAGAGCTGCGATTATTTACTTTACAGAGATCCGGACTTGGCCAAGTATCCATGGGCAAGTCGTCCAAGTAGGGTTCGGGTGAAGCCGGTTGCTCTAAGGAGTGCATAAGAATCTTAACGAGGAGATCGTCACGCAGACTATGGATCGTCCGTGACTCCATGACGGGAACGGGAGATGTGCGGCACGCAGGGGTGTCACGAGTGGAAATGATAGTTGCAAGATAGACAGCGGTACTAGTACTCGGCGATGTTCCTACAGCATCAAACGGAATGAGTGAGCTGCGGAAAGCGGTGGGTGCGAAAGCCGTGGATGTGAAAGCTGAACACAATACCGGCGGCTGTGCGCGGCGAGGAGGAAGCGCTGCAGAACGACGTGTTGCCGTGACGTCACGCTAGCGTACCGTCCTCGAATACCATGCACCGGCCCCGCCAGGAAGAAACTGTCAAGCTGGTGAATGGGACGTGGAGGATCGCGGGCGTATTGAGATCTGGCGGAAATTCGCCATGGCCCTGGGCGTATTGGGAATGAGCCGACGCATCGGAGAAACCTAGGTCGAGGAAGTAGAGCCTTGGGTCGCTCGAAGGAATAGCCGAGTGGGTAGCAATCCATCCCGCCAGGGCTTCGCTGGTTTACGATTTCGGGTAACCCAGTGCATCCGCAGTCGATTCGTGTCACAGTGACGAATTTGGATTCTTGTAACCCTCTGGGGAATTGTCGTGATTGTGATAGGAGTGCACCAGGTTTCCTGATGGGGAAAGCATCCTAGCGGGGAGAGGTACCTGGACCCCTCTGCTAAAAGGGCAGGGTTAGCGCTTTCTGCGCATGGTTTTCGCAAAAGGCTGGGCTAGGGGGGGAGGGTTATCGTTCAGGTTAGGGAGTCGAGCCCTCAATGAGCCACGTGTTTCATCCTACGCTTGCTCGCTCACTGTACATCCCAACCACAGATTCCGCACTGCGCGCGCTTGTCTTTTCTACCGAACCCATCCCACGTTCCGGGTGGCACGACGGGTCACTGTTCCCAAACCACTGTGGCCCTACCTTTCGCGCCAATACTTGTTACAGCTTCACTGAAAACGCACAGAAACTCCGTCAAGGTTGCACCCAGCTAGGAATCAACCCAGCTGCAGGTTGTGATTGTCAGACTCGAAACTCCCTCCGTCTGAAACTCAACCACGCCACTTCGATAGTTAACAAATTAGGTTTGCACTAGTTTGCTAACTACGTTACTGCCATTGGCTTCCCTAGTTTATCTTAAAAAAGAGAGTTAGGACTGTCAATGCAATTTGCATATAGACGAAATGTCTATGTTCCGGAGTCTGCAAGATTACATTTCGTAAAGCGTACCCAGGCGTGAAGTCATGACGGTCCCCCTAGCCCAATCCTCCATTATGTAATTGAGCTTCGCTATGCTATGGTCGCTCAGACCCTTCAACCACGCTATCGACGTTTCCTCATGCATCAGACTTGCCCTTACAACAAACGATATTCTTATTATTGAGATTGATTCGACCTCTTCTTAATCCGTTCCATTTCGTTTGCTCATTCGTTAGATTCTTAACGTTCGTACCTCTAATCCGTCCCCTTCAAACCCCTCACTCGTTCTTTATGCTTTTCCCGCAGGCGGATGAACAACTCTCTTCTCAGAACGCTACCACCTGCCTTGATACAGTATGTTCCAATGCTAGTTTCACTCACTTTTTAGCTTCACTCATCGAGCATAGCATCGCTACTCACATACACAAGTTCAAAGTCAACCTCCTTGCTTGCCTTTTAGTTCACTGCCCCAATCTCAGCTTCTTCGAACCACCCTGTCTTGTAACTCTTGCAATCTACCACCCTCTCATCTTCTTCTCTTGAATAGAACCTCGCCTGCTCGTAGGTTGACTCTATTTGGTTGTTCAATCTGTAACGCTGACACCTTGTCCACCATACGTGTCTTCCCTCTGTGGTTTTCAGGCCATAAGAAGTTTGCACGCATCAATTATTAAGAGAAAACGCATGCAAAATGTTCATAAGCTCACTTGCAAGGTGATTTTACGGTGTCACGCATGCAATCTGAATGATAGGTCATCTATATGTGCACATTCAGGCAATGCGTTTCCAATTTTGATAATTTTTACCACTACTGTTTGTGCGATGTTTATGAACAGTGCATTTGTGGGACAACGCAGAGAGGACATCGACATCCACACGGGAAAGGTCTCCGTGAGCGACGCTAGGGATGCAATAGTAGATTATGGCGACCAGAACAATTTCAAGCCTTACCTTTTCCACAACAAGGCAGACCGCTTAGAAGCCCGTTGTCCGTCGATGAAAGATCGGGACTGGCCCAAAGATGAGGCAAACGCACCAGAGTGGTTTTGCCCATTTAGGATTTTAGTCACCGGGCCTCGGGATTGCAGCCTCAGCGTCAAATCTGTGAACCTGCAGCACGCACACATGTGTGTGCCACAACCTGGTCGGATTAGGAGAGAGGAAGTTAACAGGTTGGTGCGTGAAGTACATCCTCACACCGTCGTTACACCCGGGGGATTGCGAGACCTGGTGCGAGAGAAGTTAGGCAAGGACTGCAGCAATTCTACGACTGCACGGTCAATCAATGATGTCGTGGTAAAAGGGGACCCGTTAGCAGGAGATAACGGGTTCCAGTACATTGGCGGCATTTTGGAAGTCTTTATGTCCAAAAATCCAACAAGCGTCGTGTCCCTGCAGTTAAATGGTAGGATGTTTCATCGGGCCGCAGTGGTGTATCCTGGAATTCGGGAAATTGTCAAAAACTGCTTTCCTATCATCTTTGTTGATGCTTGTCACAACAAGGGAATGTGGCGTGGGCATACCATTAACGCGTGTATGATTGACTGTGAACATAAGCTAGTGAGGCTAGGGAGCGCATGGGTAGAAGCTGAGAACGCAGAGGCATGTGAGTACTTCTTGGGGCTATTGAAGCGTGCTGCCCCTGAGCTGAACACCCCAAAGTTCACCCTGATGCATGATCGTGGCAAAGCGTTGAAGGCTGCTGCCACAAGAGTGTTGCCTGGGATACGTGAGGCCTTTTGTGTCACTCACTTGGTGAGAAACTTTAATTCAAAATTTGGGTCGGATTTGGATGGCAAGATCGAGCTAGCAGCAGCAGCTTTGACCAGAGATGTGTACCGGGACTTCATGGAGAAGATAGAGGCAGAATGCGCTGGGGGAAAAGAATATTTGGAGAGGGATGGATTGGCCTTGAAGTGGGCTACCTTCTCATTCGGAGCAGCGCGCTATGGCAACTACACTTCGAATCCGGTGGAATCGCACCATGCCTCTATGCGCAAGGTTAGAAGGGACAATCCCGCGCAAGTGCTGCTTTCATTCATAAAGCAGCAAGCGACGGCAATGGAAGAGGGGCGTGCGCTGTATGGAAGTTTGGGGGTTGCTGATTTCCCCCCCAAAACAGCAGCCATCATCCGAGCTAACTGCCAGACGGGGACACAGTACAAAGTGGAGCGTATTGGGCGGGGTTCGTATCATGTGAGCCGCAGGATAGGGGCTACGGAGGAGCGTGTGGTGAAGATGGATGAGGCGCACCCTGAGAAGACGGTGTGCACGTGTAAATACATTAGGTGAGTAATGGTTAAGGTGAATCTTATGTAGTCGTGATTGAGTATCTGCACTGTTTGTTGTGTTCCCACAAGATGCGTCGTGTGTGTCACATCACAATCGTAAGATTTTCACCAAAGCAGCCTTGCACCCATGCAATCCTTGCTTAATGGTCGTGTCCTGATGTGTGTTGTTTCCCGTTCTCCTTTGTTGTATTGTTCTTGTCCTTCTGCAGTGAGTACGGACTCCCATGCGTGCACATCTTTGCAGTACTCCTTCATCTCACCCGGCCTGCTAGAGGGAATGAGTTGGCGGCTCTACAACAACTGGTGCAAGCCATGGTGCATGGATGCTACACTTCAGCCGCCCTGAAGGAACTCTACAGCACGGAGGTTGAACCTCTAGACCGAACAATGGTAATTCCAGATCGCACCACTCTCCCGCCAGCCTATCCCAAAAAATCGGGAAGGCCTCGCACTACCCGGTTGAGGTCCCACGGTGAGATCGATGGTAGAAAACTGCGTAAGTGTGGGAAGTGTGGGGAGAAGGGGCACAATAGAAAGACGTGTGATTTGCGTAAACAGCTAAGAGATGCATGGGAGGCACTTCACACTCCAGCAGGGCACATGAGTGTTCAAACAGCAACACGAGCGGAGGCTCAAGTGAGTGTGGCACTATGTTCTGCATGCAACAGAAGTCACCACCGAGGAGTACTGTGCGAGGCTCTTAGGCAACAGAGGGAACGCGAGAGCAGACAGGCAGATGGGGCAATGGACAGTAGCACACCACAAGAGGGTGTTGGTGAGGATGGAGATGCTGAATTATTGGATGAGGAGTGAGGCAGCGGTTCGGATTCAGAGGATGATTTGGAGGAACAACCAGTGGTCAAAGGTGCTCAAGCTGGTGCTCAAGGTGCTGTCCAGGGTCGTGTGCACACCGTTCTGCGTGAAGTATTTGGAGGGATGGGAGGAGGAGGTGAGAATGGGGGATGCGGAGAGATGGGAGGTGCAGGTGAGAATGGGGGAGGCGGAGGGATGGGAGGAGGAGGTGAGAATGGGGGAGGCGGAGGGATGGGAGGAGGAGGTGAGAATGGGGGAATGGGAGGAGATGCAAGAGCAGGAGGGAGGGGAGTAGTGCGAGATGAAGGAGGAATGGCTGATGTTAGAGGAGTGGCTGAGAGAGGGGAAACGACTGGAATGGGAAGAGGAACAGGGAGGGGAGGACATACGGGGAGGGGAGGGCATACAGGGAGGGGAGGACATGCAGGGAGGGGAGGACATGCAGGGAGGGGAGGAGTGGCAGGGAGAGGAGGAGCAGCAGAGAGTGGGGGAGTAGGAGGGTGGGGTGGAGCAGGTGAAAACGCAGGAGTCGGAAGGAGGGGAGGAGTAGCAGAGATTGGGAGAGGCGGATGGAGGGGTGGACCAGCAGAAACAAGGGGAAGGGCAGGGAGAGGAAGAGGACAAGCGGAGAGGCGTGGATTCCGGGCGAGGCAAGGAGCAGACAGGAGTGGAGTGGAGACGGCTGAGAGACAGCCAACAGTGAGTGTAGGAGTGGGACCAAGGGGAGGGGTGGGGGGTGAGAGAGGACCAGCAGTGAGCGGTGGAGTGGGGCTGAGAGGAGGAGCCACAGAGAGTGGAGGGGTGGGGGGTGAGAGAGGACCAGCAGTGAGCGGTGGAGTGGGGCTGAGAGGAGGAGCCACAGAGAGTGGAGGGGTGGGGGGTGAGAGAGGACCAGCAGTGAGCGGTGGAGTGGGGCTGAGAGGAGGAGCCACAGAGATTGGAGGGGTGGGTGGAGGTGTAGGAGATCATAACGATGGTGATAACGTCATTCGTTTTCGGTTGCGGCGAATGCAGCACCTGCGTCAGCAGAGACAGGTGGCATCCGAGTCAGGTCGTGGGGATCAACGGCCAGCAACAGTGGATGCTGAAGCAAGCGGGGAGGAGAGAGAGGAAACAGGGAGTGTGGAGCCAAGGGGAGGGGCCAGGCAGGTTGTACAGGCCCCGGTACCTGATACACAAGAGTCAGTTGTTGTGGATGAGCCAGTTGCTGATGACCAATGTGTGGAAATGGAGGAGGAACTGCAACACTTGCGGTTGGGGCAGAAGCAACGGCGCCAGTGGAGAAGCTTTCAGTTGCAGCAGAGACGCTTGAGACGGCGGGAGCAGGAGCAGCAGTGGGACCCTAGGCATGGACAGCAGCAGCAGCAGCGGAGGGGTCAGCAGCAACAAGAGGGGCAGCAGGGGCAGCAACAACAACAGCAAGAGGGGCAGCAGCAGCAGCAGCAGGGGCAGCAGGGGCAGCATGGGCTTATGGGGCACGAGCAGCAGCGGCAGGGGCGGCAGCGGCGGCGGGAACAACAGCAGCAGCAGCGCGAGTTGCAACCACAGCATCAGGGACAGCATGAGCTGCTCCAGGGTCAAGGACTGCACCTGTTGCAACTGTTGCAGGCATTGCAACAAAACCAAATGTACTATCATCAACAACAGCTACCACCAGATCAGCAACAGCATCTGCAGCGACAATGGCAGCAGCTATTGAATTTGGTGCAGCAATTGCAGCCGAAACATACAGGGCAGTAGAAGTAGGTGGGGTAGAGCAGTTCGTTGCGTACACTACGTATAGAATTGGTAGGCTACTTTATTTAAGTACACTCTATTACAGTCTGGAAAGGTTGACTTTCCCAACATTAAAGAGATGGAGGCCTCGTATTTGCATGCGTAATGACTCGTTAATAATTTGATAATTGCTGTAGCCTAAACCCGAAATACCAACCTTTGGTGTCATTCGCAGCATTAAGTAAGGAGATATGATGTTCCAAATATGCGAGCAAGGAGAACTGTGCAAGGAAAGGCCTGTGCTATTACGAGGTGCCACAGCAACTTCCGTACGTTATTTGAAACGATGTTTGTTTCTATCATGCCTTCATTTACTATATTGTAAGCGTGTTGGACAGGTTCGGTGTCATTCGCAGCATTTAGTAATGAGATATGATGTTCCAAACATGCGAGCAAGGAGAACTGTGCAAGGATAGGCCTGTGCTATTACGAGGTGCCACGTCAACTTCCGTTTGTTATTTCAAAAGAGGTAATAGCCGATTTGACCTCACGAAGATAGGGAGTTGTATGTATTTTATCATAGACCTGAAAAGCTGTAAATCGTTTAGCATTAAAAAAAATCTACCATATTAACATATATATATTTATTTCTATACTAGATGTCATGTATATATACAACATAGTCACTGATCCAATACTAAACCCGACAAGGGTTTAATAACACAAATCAAGGTTTTGCATATGAAAACCTGACCTACGCATTCTTATTTTTTATCCCTACTTTCATTCTATGCGCAATCAATTCAACCTCTCGTAACGGATTTACCTGTATTTTGTTTCACTTTTCCTGTGTGCCTAACCTTGACGTGAAAGTCCTTTGACGGAGTTTCTGTGCGTTTTCAGTGAAGCTGTAACAAGTATTGGCGCGAAAGGTAGGGCCACAGTGGTTTGGGAACAGTGACCCGTCGTGCCACCCGGAACGTGGGATAGGTTCGGTAGAAAAGACAAGCGCGCGCAGTGCGGAATCTGTGGTTGGGATGTACAGTGAGCGAGCAAGCGTAGGATGAAACACGTGGCTCATTGAGGGCTCGACTCCCTAACCTGAACGATAAGGGTAAGTAGCTTTCGCGGGGTTACTACTAGGGACCCCGCGCTTTCTAGGGAGCTACAGTGCCAGCAGGGGGCACTTTCCACCCCTCCGTGCCTGAGACAGGGGAATTATAGAAACAACACAGAATTCTCCCCCACATTCACCCACGTGTCAAAATTTCGGAAGTTAAAAAACGCACGGCAAAAAAAAGTAAAACCCATAGGGAACCTGGACTCATTCGGGAGGGATCAACCCTAAACACGGGAACCCACATTTGTTTAGGGTTGATGCCTCCCTGAGACGCATCCCTTCCCGATTGGGTTTTAGTTTTTTCGGTCAGGTAAAGGGATATTTATTCTAGTGGCTTGCGAAATTTGTGACACGTGGGTGAATGTGGGACCGAGTTCTGTGTTGTTGCCATAATGTTCCTGTCGGAGTGGTGGAATGGCGGAAAGTGCCCGCATATAGCACTGTAGTCCCCTTGAAAGCGCAGGGTCGCTAGTAGTACCCCTGCGAAAGCTACTTACCCGAACGATAACCCTCCCCCCCTAGCCCAGCCTTTTGCGAAAACCATGCGCAGAAAGCGCTAACCCTGCCCTTTTAGCGGAGGGGTCCAGGTACCTCTCCCCGCTAGGATGCTTTCCCATATTCGAGAGGGTACGCCACGTGGCGGCAATGCCTCGTTCTGCAGCGCTCACGCGACGCACAGCCAGTAATGTGTTCAGCTTTCCCGTCCACCGCTTCGTACGCACCGCTTCTCCAACTGACTCATTTCCGTTTGATGCTCACTAGGGACGGCGCTGAGGTAAGCTACTGCTTGCTTACTACCTTGCGATCACAGTTCCTTCTACCGAAGTTCTTAAGATTAGGTCCTCCAGTGCGTTCTGTACCTTAGCACGTCTTCCGACGTCCCGAGTATCTCTAATTCCCGACATGGAGTCCCGGACGATCCATGATTTGTCTGACGATCTTCTCTTTAAGATCATTACGCTCTCCTTTGAGCAACCGGCTTCTCACGAATCCCACTTTGATAACTTGGCCACTGAAGTTTGGCCAGGTATCATTTCCGATAGATTTACGGTTAACAAGTTTCTGATAGTCCCGCCGGTACCAGCCCCACCTCCAGTCGCAGACGCGGCTCGGAATCTCCTCATTGCGTCCGTCTGCCGTCGTTGGCGTTGTCTGGCGAAGCTTAGAGTGTCCTCGCTCTATGTTAAAGAAGACGTCGTGGTGTCCCTTGAGGATCTTTCAGCCGCCGTCGCGTGCTTCCCCAACCTCACCCATCTCCATCTCGGCGACAACTGCGCCGAGTCGTTCCTCACTCACCTCGTTGCGTCATGCCCGAAGCTGACTCGCCTCCACGTGGGAAGGAGGTTTGCAGGGCAATTGCCCTTCGACCGTAACAGCCCAGTTAAGCATTATCGTAGAAAGGAACATCCGATGACAACAGAGGGCTTGGATTTGTTTTTTCAGAAGCTTCCTGAACTGGAGCTGGTTACTCTCTTCTGCCTCCTCCACCAAAAAACAGAGTTACCGAAATCATTCTTTCAGTTGAGGCGTCTGCACACCTTTTTTCTCACCGACGCTTCAGCCTTGGAGAAACACGATTTCACCAACCTCACTGCCCTAACCACCCTGCACATCACCTTCCTTATGCACCATCGTCACCTCTCCACCCTCCTTCACCTCCCACGGCTCACCCGTCTCTCCACCTCCGTCCGTCACCAAAGCTATCAGCCGGCACGTGCTGGGAGCGTGACGCTACCATGACCGCATTGGAGATGTGCTGCCGTGCCTTCGCAAGTTGGTCATTCACAAGTGCTATAGAGCCGTCCTGCCTGAAAACTTCACATCGCTGAGCCGTTTGGAAATACTCGTCATCTCTATTGTAAATACCTTTACCTTTCCCAACAACTTTGGCCGCCTGCCTGCCCTCAAACTGCTGGTGCTGGAGAAATTGCACTGCACCGAGCTTCCTCCTTCCTTCTGTCATCTCATGGCTCTTGAATCACTCTTTCTACTTGATTGTTTCAGCCTTCAGCAGCTGCCAGCAGAGTTCTGCCGCCTCACGTCTCTCAAGGCGCTCTGCTTCTCTGAAAGTTCACACCTTAGGGCCAGTCTTGCCTTGCCAGAGGGCGTTGGGGCCCTTGCAAGGCTGGAGGCTCTCAGGCTGAATGGCCGCCTGAATCAGCCCCTTCCAGCTTCCTTCACCCGGCTGTCTTCCCTCACGAGCCTCGAGCTGAATTCATGCCGCTCAGACTTTCGAGGCGGTCTTCCGGAAGCCCTGGGAGACCTGATCAGCCTACGAGAACTGAAGATCATTGGTCTTTCAATCAGCTCGCTCCCTTGCTCACTGATCCAGCTTACGAGACTTCATTCTTTGGAGGTTAGAAACTGCTGGCTACTTGCAGAATTACCCTCGAGGCTGGATATGCTCGTGGGGCTAAAGAGGCTGGAGCTGACGTATTGTTCGCTGAATAGGCCCCTTGTCGCTCTGCCTCCCTCACTTGAGACCCTCTGCTTGGGGCCTTTCATGCATGGCCCTTCCCATGTGGTGGACATCTCCCAACTTTCGCAGCTGATTGTGCTGAAGCTGAACAGCGTTGGGGTGCGATGTGGACCTGCAGGAAGCAGCAGTTTGTCGTGTCTGCAGCAGCTGCAGCAGCTGGAGATGCGTTTGGAAGGTGACATTCAGCAGCTCCCGATCCCCTTAATGTGTCTAACTCGCCTGCGCAGCTTGCTGATAGAGGCGCCAGGAGTTCGCAGCCTCCCACTAAACATGGCGGCAATGTTGCCGCAGTTACTGCATCTGGAGCTTCTTTCTTGGTCACCAGAGGAGCTGTCAAGCAGCATACTAGAGCTCACCTCGCTGACGTCACTCACGGTTGAAGCTCCTCGGCTGACGTCACTGCCTCAAGGCATGACCTCATTGGTTCGGCTGTGCAAACTTGAGCTGATTGGCTGCAAAGCCTTACAGCACCTCCCGGAGTTTCTCACCCAGCTGCACCACTTGGTACTGCGTGACACCTCCATCCGCTCCCTTCCTGCAAATCTCGTGCAGCTGATCGAGGAGTGTTGACTTGGCTGACTGCCTTGGGCTCGCTTGCAGTTAACTGAGGTGGGTGGGTGGGTGAGTGTTGAATGCGTTCCAGTTCCTCGGGGGCTATTTCCACTGACTAGGTAAATGCCGTTGCTGATTTTTGCTAAGCAGCTGTGCAGTGCGCTCTGACTGTGCTTGAATGGCAGATGCTGGATGGCAAAGGCGCCTTTGAAGCCGGTGCCAGGGCAGTGAAGTTGGTGCCAAGGCAGGTGCAGCTAGTGCTAGTGCAGCTAGTGCCAGTGGGACGTTTAAGAGACTTTTAGTGTGCTCTCTGATTTCGCTTGTCTTGCACCAACCTTCTTTTGTTTCTTGGTAGTGTGCCCTCTGATTCTGCTTTTTTTTGCACCAATTTTTCTTCTTCTTCTTGGTAGTGTGTTCTCGCTGATCTTCGTTGCCTTTCACCAACGATTTTTGTTTCTTGTATTCATGTGGGCTGCGTCATGCTTAGGCAAACAATTGAGCTTCAGAAAACAAAAACAGCAGAAATACTCAGCAGGTGTGGTAGTCTGTGTGATACCCAGATACCCAGTAAGTCAGCCAGAAGTCGTAGAGTGCTGCTAAGATTAGGCTGTTATATTCAGTTCTTTCAATTCAATGTTCAGGAAGTTACATAACTCTGGTCTTGCCAATGACTCTTCTGAAGACAGACTATGCAGGTGAGATGCATTTTCGGAAGTGTGTTTTGAAATGTTCATTCTCGAGTATGAAAATCTCATGTTGAAATCTGAGGTACCGTAATATGAAACATGATCTTAAATCGTTCAGAATTACTGGAGAGATGCTTTAAAAAACTCTCATGTTGAGATCTGCATTTTGAGAAGCTGATTCATTCGGATGAATATGCTTTTTGAGATATAGAATTTGAGAGATGGCTTCTGAGATATGAATTACATAATCTGCACTCTGAAATATGCCTTCTGAAATATCCCTCCACTTCTTTCCAAACCCCCACTCCTGTTGTATTGTAACCCCGCCCCCCCTCACCACTCTCCTATCCCCCACTCCTTGCATACCCCAACTCTCCCACTCCTTTCATAATCCTCACTCCTCAAACCCCTTACTCCCTGAATACCCCTCATTCCTCTCTTACCCCCCTCTCCTCCCATATTTCCAAACTCCCCTCATTCCCTGCACTCCTCTCATACACCTCCTCTCATACCCCTCCTCTCATCCACCCCCCCCCTCCCCCACCCCTCCCGTAACCCCACTCCTCTCATACCCCCCCACACCACACCTCTCATACCCACCACTCCCCTCACACACCTCACTGCTCTCATATCCGCCCTTGCACTCCTGCTTTTCACACTTGCACTCCTGCTTTTCACCCTTGCAATCCTACTTCGTTTCAACACCAGCAACACTCCTCTCCTCGAGCATCCAGCTCCCAATGTTTTGTGTGCTCCTTCAACAGCAGCTATAATGCCTTATTGCAATTTCAATCCACCCATGCCCTTCTCAACCCACCCATGCCTTTTTCAGCCCTCCCATGACCTTTTAATCCACCCATACCTTACCATCCCACCCAATGCCTTTTCATCCCACCCCATGACTTACCATCCCACCCCATGCCTTTTCATCTCACCCCATGCCTTTTCATCTCACCCAATGCCTTTTCATCTCATCCCATGCCTTTTCATCCCACCCGTGCCTTGTCATCCCACCCATGCTCTTTCCTCCCACCCATGCCTTTTCATCCCACCCATGCCTTTTCATCCCACCCATGCCCTTTCCTCCCACCCATGCATTTTCGTCCCATCCATGCCTTTTCACCCCACCCAAGCCTTTCCATCCCACTCATCTCTTTCATCCCACTCATGCCTTTTCCCTGCGTTGGTTGGCAGGCCAACTAGTGTGCTGCTCGCTGTGCTGTGGCTCAGTTAAGGGAGAGAAATGAGTAATGGCTGCAACATGAAGTTGTGTAGGTATTGTCTAGTGCACTAGGGCTAGATTCACAGTGACTGAAGACAGCATCTACACCCTTTCAGCCTTTTCAACCCTGTGTGGCATAATTACTCCATTGTCCCATAGCCATCAACAGCTGAAAGATCATGCATGTACCGGTAAATTAATTCAACTAGATTATACTTGGCTTCGCGCAATGATGGTGATGTGCAGGAGGAGCATGAAAGCCAAAAACTCCTTGGGACAGGAGATGCACGGGACCACCTTGAAACAGAACATCACACGTCTTGGAACCGGCAACCAACTGCTGCATCTTGGAAGGACAGGCGTTTAGTGTCATATCAAATGGTTAATTGCCGTATGCATCCATCGGTAAGAGCAAAGGAAACATGACGCCACTCTTGGGAGGCAATATTGCTGCAAGCGACGCCCAGAAGAGAGGCACAGCACAGTGCCAGAGAATGGCCTGATGCCATGCGAGAGAGAGGCGGTGATGTGAGTGGTGACATTGGCCTTGCGTCTGCTGAATAGGGCCTGCATAGAGGGAGGGGTTATGGATGGCAGGGCAGGCAGGCGGTGCAGGGAACGGCAGGAACGAAAGCAGGGAAGGCGGTGAAGATGAAGCATGAGCAAAGGTGCCTAGTTCATGAGAGCCAGACCATTGTTTAGACGCCCATGAACATTGATACGAGGCCCCTGCTCATTGCTCTAAGGCCGACCATCTTGGCAACTGCCAAATAGGGCCTATTGGCATTAAAGGGAAGAGGGATGTGGGTGGTGATGTTGGCCTTGTGCCTGAAAAATAGGGCCTGTTGCAGCAGGTGGAGAGTAGTAGCGTGCAGTGTAGGGACGGGATGAGTGGGGGGCTTGTGAATGCTGCAGGAGGCGAGGATGATAAGGGCGCAAAGACGATTTCAGTAGGGTAGCTTTTGACTAAGAATTTTGACAGGGAAATTTTGACTGAGGATTTGGACGAGGGATTTTGATGACTGATTGTGACAAGGGATCTTTTAGGAGAGATTTTGGGATGCAAGGAATGGACATCGCCCTAGACGCTGCCATGCATGTCTTAATGCATCGGGCGAGGTGCACTTTGGAGCACCCCGGCATGATGTGCTGGAGGGGAGGAGGGGATAGAGGGGAGGGGAAGCAACGAGCATGCGCGGATAAGGAAGGGTGGAGAGAGCTGCAGTGCACAGCGTAACGCCCCTCCATGACGCGCTGAAAGAGGTGGCAAGGTGTGGGTTTTTGGTGGGCGGAATGGAATGGAGGGCAGGGAAAGAGGAAGCAACGAGGAAAGCAATCAGGGAGGGAGCACAAAGTATGTCGGGAAGAGGTGGATGCTGTCTGTAGCGCACTGCACTGCCACGATACGCTGGAAAGGTGTGGGTTGGTGGGAGGGGGTTGTTTGGATGCAGGGGAGAGAGGCAGGAAGGAGCATGGGCAAGGGCTGGAGAGTGGAGAGCAGGCCAAGCGCCCCGCCATGATGCGGTGGAAGGGGTTGGGAGAGTGGGGAGTGGGTTTGGGAGTAGGGGAGGGGGAGAAAGGATACAAGAGTATGAATTGGCTGGCTCCTGGTTCGTAGGCCATGCCTGGTGCAATTAAGGGAGGTGAGTACATGGGGGGACAGGGCAGGAAGTAGTCTGTCTGTTTCACACCAACCGTTGCAGTGTGGGCCGAAGCCAGTGCACGGCCGGAGGATGATGGGGTGATAGGGCGATGGGGTAAAGGGGTGATGGAGTGATGGGGTGATGAGGTAATGGGGTGATGGAGTGATGGGGTAATGGGGTGATGGGGTGATGGGGTAATGGGGTGATGGTGTTATGGGGATGGGGTGATGGGGCAAAGTGATGCTGGGGTAATGGGGTGTGATGGTATGATGGTGTGATGTGGCAGTGAGATCAAGCAGCGGTGAGATGAAGGGAGTGTCTCCTCCACGGCAGGAGAAAGATGAGAGCACAGACCTGATTCGGTAGAGGCAGGTTCGTCAAAGGCACTACCGGCCTCAGTGTAGATATGAGTGATCGTTGATTCATGTGTGGTTGTAGAAACGGTAGCGGTTGGATGCTACTGGCTGGGCTGTGCACACCTGGTGGGTGATTGAGGGCAAGGGTGGCCAGAGGAAGAGAGAGATAGGGAGGGAGAGAGACAGGGAGGTGGGTGCAGGATAGGCGGATTGGAGCAGAGTGATGGCCGCTGCTGGCTGCACCATGTGCACCTGGGGGAGGGGAATGCTGACTGGGATGGGGATGGGGAAGGGGACGGGGGAGTGGAAGTTGCAGTTGCAGTTGGAACTGCCGGGCATTCAGGCAGAGTGCATGCAAGTGCATCAGCTACAAGGCAATCGCAGAACATGCAGCAAACAAGGAGGGACCTCGGAAAACACCACCACAAGCATTTAGGCTCAACCACCTGAGAGCCACCTGGCTGACCTGAGAGCCACCTGGCTGACCTGAGAGCCACCTGGCTGACCTGAGAGCCACCTGGCTGACCTGAGAGCCACCTGGCTGACCTGAGAGCCACCTGGCTGACCTGAGAGCCACCTGGCTGACCTCAGAGCCACCTGGCTGACCTCAGAGCCACCTGGCTGACCTCAGAGCCACCTGGCTGACCTCAGAGCCACCTGGCTGACCTCAGAGCCACCTGGCTGACCTCAGAGCCACCTGGCTGACCTCAGAGCCACCTGGCTGACCTGACAGGTCACAGGCCTGAGAGTGACCTGCTAGTGACTGCAGGGCCTTCAGGCACAGTGCATGCAAGTGCAGGGCATTTAGCTACAAGGCAATCGCAGGGCATGAAGAAAACTTGGAGGGACCTTGAAAAACACCACCCTGGCATTTAGCCTCTTGCGGACCCACCTCAAACACAGTAAACCACCCAAAAGCCACATGACCGACCTGACTGACCTGAGAGTGACCTGCTAGTAACCACGACACTCCTCCTTCTCCCTCTGCCCATCCTTGAGGAAGAAAACTGCCGGCACCCAGCAGCCACACTAGTGACCTGCTAATGACCCATAACCAGCCCACGTCCCTCCCACCACCCACCCACCGCCCTCTCCCGGTGCTGCTCGTCCCTGAGGAAGCACGGCCCCGGGGCAACCTGCAGCAGCCTCGACCAGCCTCGCCTCACCCACCAACCAGTGACTCATGAATATCAAGCAACCCAGCCCACCACCCTACCCCTCACTCACCCACTCAGAACGCACCTCCTCCTCCCCAAGCAGTGCGCCTGGGGGCGCTGTAGGGATGGGAGTCGGTGGAGCACAAGTCCGTGTGGGAGAAGCAGGTGCCAAGACGAGGTGGGGTGGGGAGAGAAGAGAAAGGCGGAGGAGGGGGGAGGGGAGGTGGGGGAGAAGGGTGGGTGGAAGGGGAGAATGGGCAAAGGGTAGCAGAGTGGCTTATGAAAGGATGCGGGAGACGGTGCAACGAACTCCAACGAACTCCCCTCCCCTCGCATCCCCCTCCTCTGCATCCTTCTTATCAACGCACTGCTCCCTTCCTTTCCCCCCCCTCTCCCCTTTTAGCCTCACACCTGCTTCTCCTATTCCGACTTCTGGCCCACATTTCTTGCCTGTACGGCTCTGTCTCCCACATCCGTCTCATTAGTCACTGGCCCTTTTCCTCCTTTCCCATTTCCTCATCCTTCACCCCACGCCCGCGCCTGTGTCTCCCGCACCCACGTCTAGCCCACTGTTCGCCCCCCCCCACACTGCTCACAAAAGCGGTATCTTGTCCCCTCCCCATACCCTCCCTTCCCCCCTCTCCCCCACCCCCCCCCTTCCCCACTCTCCTTTCCCCCCTCTCCCCCACCCCCCCTTCCCCACTCTCCTTTCCCCACCCTTCCCAGCTCCCCACCTGCTTCTCCCACGCCAGCGTCTGGCCCACGAATTCCTGCCTATGCAATCCGTTGCACCAGCAGTCAGGTCGGAGCGATGTACGCGGCTGGGCAGTGGCGAGCTGTCAGGAGCGGCGTTTGTACACGAGGGCCTCCATCACATGAGCGATATCGAATCTGAGGATACATAGTGTGGCAGCAGCTGTAGGAGAGCGACTGGAAAGACGGAAGCGCGGACCTCCGAGGCAGATGGTGCGATTGGAGGTGGAGGTGTGTCTTCTGCTGCTAGCAGCTGCTCGGCGACCGAAATTGAAGCCGCACGTTCCGTGGATTCCGACCAGTCATGTTGCGAAGGTTAGCGACCGCGCGGGTAAGCACACCAAGACAGGGGGGATGAAGGGGGCTGAAGGGGGATTGAAGGGATGTGAAGGGGTGTAGGGGGGGGAAGGGAAGGGGGGGTGTTGAGGGGGAGGTGAGGGGGAGGTGAAGGGGGATGAAGGGGTTGGAAGGAGGAGGGGTGAAAAAAGGGAGGGGTGCTTCTGGGGCTGGCGGAGGCCATTGAGGACACCAAGGTGGTGCCGGGGGTGGGGTGTTGCGAGGGGGTGGGGTGCTGCTGCGGTGTTATGGGTGGAAGGGGCCGGGCTGGATATCGCCAAGGTGAGAGTTGGTGCGGGGCGGAGAGATGCGAATAGGGATCACTTGAGTCACTCAAGACACTCGTTCGCTACGTTGGGTAGCTGGATGTGGCCCAGGTGGGAGTCTCTGAGAGTCGGTGAGGAGGTGATGATTGGTTGCTGATAGATCACTGTGGAGTTGGTGATGAGTCAGTGAGAAGTTGCTGCGAGTGGCTGTGGTATGGTTGTGAGCGTGGGCGGAGGGAGGTGATGGGGAGGCCAGCTGAGTTGAGAAGGTAAAATTCATTCCTTCATCAACCCTCCAACTACCTCTTTTTCCCCTCCAAATCCTAATTTACTCTTCCCACCCAGCCCTCGTTCGCATCTTCCTCCCATCCCATCCATCCAGCCTCGCTTTTGTGTCCTACTCTAGCTTGTGACCCATCTGCCCCTACCGCACATCACCCACCCAGTCACTACCCTGTCTGCTTCCCTTTCCCCTTCCCTTAATGTTCCCCCCTTTGTCCCCCTTCTTCCCCAGCTCCGCACCTGCTTCTCCTACTCACAGATTCACCCCTTTTCCTGCCGCACCTTTTCCTACTCTGACTTCACCCCTTCCCACCCCCACATCAATCTCATAAACCACCTGTGCAGCTTACCCTTTTTCCCTATCTCCCATCCCCCCCCCCCCCTCCCCCCCCCCCCCCGCCCACTCACCAACCCCCTGCAGCTGCCCACCTGCTTCTCCCACACCAACTTCTTCCCCACTGACGGCTCCCACCCCCATGTTGTGGGCGCGCTCTTCACCCCCACAGCAGGCGGAGCTGGGTGGGACTGATGGGTGCCCCGTGGGCCCGTGGCAATTTTTGAGAATGGAGGAGCAGAGGGAGACAGGCCGTGCTGTTTTTGTACTTGTGATTCGCTAGCGAGTCACAGATGAGGCGAGGCGGGTCAAGGCTGCTGGGTGCCTCGTGGCAGTTTCCTTCCACCGGATGAGCGAAGGGCAAGGAAGGTGAGCGGAAGCGGAAAGTGGGGTGATTATTGCTTCCTAGCAGGTCTCTAGTAGTAAAGCTGCTGGGTGCCGGCAGTTGTCTTTTTGAAGGACGAGCTGCGGGCTAAGGAGGTGAGTGCTGTGAAGGACGTGGAGTACATATGGACCCCCAGCAGGTCAGTGGCAGGTGAATGGCAGGTCCGTGGCAGGTCAGTGGCAGCTTAGTAGTAAAAAAATCTGCACTCTCATTCTCAGGTCCGTGTCAGTCTCAGGTCAGTCTCACGTGATTGAGCTGTTTTTGCGTTGATTTGCAAGAGCTTGAATGCCCTGTGGCAATGCTAGTCAACCAGGTGGCCATGCGGGACTAACAGGGACCGGCACTCCAGAACAATCACTCCTTTTCCGCCCCCCAACCCCCATTTCCCACCCCGCCACCCCCCCTCATCACTCACCACCTCTCTCTCTCACCCACCTCACCAGCCTTTCCCAGTGGCCCCCCATCATCCGATCACCCACCAGGTGTGCTTAATACAAACTTCACTCTCCATCATTGTTCCCCCATCCCCTTTCCTTTCCCCTTCCCCTTTCCCATCCCCACCCTTGTCTCCATTTCCATCCCTTTCTTCATCGCCTCCCTCATCCCCTCCGTTCTACGTCCCCTTTTCACTTTGCCGTCCCCATTGCCATCTCCCACCTTTCAAGATGATACATAGTGGAACCAATGGCGTCCAATCGGCTTATCATGCACCCACCTTACTGTGCTCTTTCCCGCTGACCACCCTTACTCCAATCACTCACCAGGTGCGCATAGTCCACCCAGCACCAACATCCATCCCGTGCCGTCTCTACACTCACACACCGATCATCGATACCTCATATCTTCACTGATGTGAGTAGTGCGTTGTCTCCAACCTGCCACGGCTGAATCAGGCAAGTGCTCTCAGTTGTCGCATGTCTCGCCACCACTTCCATTGGCAACCCATTGTCACTTGGGCGACCCTTTCAATGAGGCAGATCCAGGATCTCATCGCCCCATCACCCCATCACCCCTCACCCCATCACCCATCACGCCATTACCCATCACACCATCACCACATCATCCCATTCCCACTGCCCCTTGACCCCATCATACCCCCACCATACCAGTGCAATGGCTTTGGCCCTAACTGCAATGGGTAGCGTGAAACAGCTTTGTCAGGTCACTGCATGCCCTGCCCGTGCATGTGCCACCCTACCCTCCTTGCTTTCCCATATTCTTTGCTTCTTTCTCCCACTTCTCCTAGTGTACCCACACCCCACCCCGCTTCCCTCATATCCTCACCCTACGCACACCTTCCATCTCTTCCAGTGCATCATAGCGGGGTGCTATGGCATATGCATCTCCTCATTCCCCTCTTCTCCATCATTCCTTCCAACCCCCCCCCCCCCCCCCCCCCCCCCCTCCACCACACCTACCCCGCACCTTCCCAGCTCTTCCAGAGCATCGTGGCTGGTAGAGCTATCCCCGCCATGATTGTGAGTAAAGGGAGGACGGTGGGTGGTCAGTGGTGGGTGGTGTGGTGGGTGGTGGGTGGTGTGGTGGGTGGTGGGTGGTGTGGTGGGTGGTGGGTGGTGGGTGGGTGGTGGGTGGTGGGTCAGTGGGTTGCCAAAAGCACTGCTATGAAACCCCAACAGGGGCCTTATCGACAGCCCCAAGGCCAAGGCAGGTGGGCATTGTAGCAGGCCCTAATTTTAAGAAGTGGCTTTTCTCAATCAGGCGCTCCTGATTTCCCACCCTTGCCTTCCAGCATCTCTTCCCCCCTCTGCAGGCCCTATCCCACTGGTGCACAGCCAATATCGCCACCCTTATCACCGACTCATTTGTGGCCCTGGGAAGTGTGCTCTGCCTCTTCTCAGCCTTATCATCCTCGTCTTCGCTATCTTGCCGCTTGGCTGTGGGCGATTCGTGCTCGCTTGGCTGCTTCTGAATGGCAAATCTCCAATTGGTGCCAACTGCTGTGCACACCACCACCAGCAGTGCCACAGTAGCTGCATGTTCCCTTCGTTTCCCTATGAAGAACCGCGCAGAACACCATCAATTGCGCAGGATGTTTCAATATGAAATGATTGCATTACTGCTTTACACTTGTTTTTGTTTGAGCTTTATTTATTGCATTTTGTTCTAGCATGGTCGTCAAGTCTCTCCCATCCGGAACAGCACACCACCATCATTTCCACGTATTTCAATCCTAAGATAGAATTCCACGCACATTACCATCATTTTGATGCGTAACACCAACAGCACCAAGGAATCAGAATCTTGCAGGCCACAACGCACATTCTTCTCTCTGAACCGAGCCAGAACGCTAGGAGCAGCACAGTAGTTGGGCTGCCAACGCATAGCCAAGGCTGGGAGGGATGAGAACCTGCATGAGGGGAGAACCATGCAGACCAGAGGAGGAGCAGACGAAACAGTGGGTGGAGTATCTCTGGGTGTGACGGCGGATAGAAGGGGCGCAAAGCACGGAAAGCAGCGAAAAGGCAGAGAGCAAGAGTTAAAAGGCGGAAAGCTGGAGTGAAAACGTAGAGAGGAGTGAAAGGCGGAAAGCAGGAGTGGGAAAGCGGAAAGCTGGAGTGAAAACGTAGAGAGGAGTGAAAGGCGGAAAGCAGGAGTGGGAAAGCGGAAAGCTGGAGTGAAAACGTAGAGAGGAGTGAAAGGCGGAAAGCAGGAGTGGGAAAGCGGAAAGCTGGAGTGAAAACGCGGAGAGGAGTGGAAAGTGGAAAGTTGGAGAGAAAAGGCGGAGAGCAGGAGTGAAAAGGCGGAGAGCAGGAGTGAAAAGGCGGAGAGCAGGAGTGAAAAAGCGCAAAGCAGGAGTGGAAGCTACAGCAATTACTTGGATTTACAAGAGTGGCAGGTGTGGGGGGTATGAGAGCAGTGGGGGGCACGAGCGGAGTGGGGAGTATGAGAGGAGGGGGAGCATGAGGAGGGGGAGGATATGAGAGGCGTGAGGGGTATGAGAGCAGTAGGGCGTGTGTGAGGGGAGTGGGGGGTATGAGAGGGGTGGGGTGGGGTATGAGAGCAGTAGTGGGGGTTTTGAGTGGGGGTTGTGAGATGAATGGCAGCAGCGTGTGGGGTTGGCGGGGTTGTGGTCTTGAGGTGCTGTGGTACATCTCAATCCCCTTCACCTGCAGTGCTAGGATGCAGTGCTAGGATATACATGCAAAACTGGATGTGTGAAATTGTGCATGCTGAGTGTCTTGTGGCATGATGCTTTCTATGCCTAATGTCCTGCATAACCCCTGCTTATATTCACTTACCCTCCTTCAAGGAGGGTGCTGCTCCTTCCATCCCATCCTTCCTTTCTCCCCTTTTTCTCCACATACCTGGACATACCTGGGCTGTACCGCAGCTGCCATGGGGTACCTTGCAAGTCACTGCTCATTGGCCTATTATCCAGCAATTCACAAATTCAACCTGTTACGAGACAAGAATGATGTCCTTCCCAACAAAGAAGCAATTTGAACTGTGCATTATCATGATTATTAGGTGCCATGACGGTCAGTGGTTCTCTCAGCATTCACAGCTTCTCCTGCACGCCCATTTGTCACCACGTTGGCAGATTTACTGGGTTGGTCCACTGATGCTAACAAGCCCAGAAATGATAACATCGCCTAAACAGTTTGCTCTATTCGCACTCGAATTAGATTGACTATGCACAGGGCACACAACAAAAATGCAGACAAATTCTAAAAAACCAGGCAACAAAAAGTACAAGACAAGGCATATCAAAGGGAAAACACAATACAAATCTACAGGCTGTAATGACCATGCATTTCCTTCATCTACCCTCGCACAAGCGTCACTGGTGCAGGCCCAACTTCAACGACACTGTCTCTAACAAGCATGCATCAGAGACATTGGAAGCAAATCCTGACATACGGCAGCACCTTCAGCTAGTCCAAGTCAGCATGAGGAAACCTTAGTCTAGCTGCAAAAGGCCAGCCTGGCTCTCCCTGCTGTCGAGTAAGCTCCACACGATTGGCAGGGAGGGAGCGGACGGAAGTTTGCCGCAGTTTCAAGTGGTGCAGCTGGGTGAGATCCTCAGGGAGGTACCGCAAGGCGTTGCAGAAAACCAGCTCCAATTTGCGCAGCCGAGACAAACGACTCATGCCCTGAGGTAGCGCCGTCAGATGAGATGATTCAATACTAAGTGACGTCAGCGAGCGCAGTTCCAGTATGCTTCCTGGCAGCTCCTCCGATGACCAAGAAAAAATACGCAGCTCCCGTAACTCCGGCAATGCTGCTGCCATGTTTACCGGAAGGCTGCAGATTCCCCGTGCCGATATCCACAAGCTGCGCAGGCGAGGGAGAAACACCAAGGGTATCGGGAGCTCCTGACTGTCACGTTTCGTATCCATCCAGAGCTGCTCCAGCTGCTGCAGACATGGGAACCCTCTGCTCACTGCAGGCCCACATGTCGCCCCAACGCGGTTCAGCTTCAGCACCCTCAGCTGGGACAACTTTGAGATGTCCACCACATAGGGAGTGCTGTCCCCGAATGAACCCAGATTAAGGGTTTCAAGAGATGTGGGCAGATCCGCAGGGGGTGTACTCAGCTGCGGACATGACACCAGCTCGAGCCTCTTAAGCCCAACGAGCATATCCAACCTCGAGGGCATTTCTAAAAGTGACCCGCAGCATCTGACCTCCAAAGTCTGAAGTCTCATAAGCTGTGTCAGCGAGTTAGGAAGTGCGCGGATTGAAGAATCAATTAATTTCAGCTCCCGCAGGCTGCTCAGCCCTCCCAGGGCATCTGGAAGCCTACTTAATGCGCATTCATTAAGCTCAAGGCTCGTGAGGGAAGAAAGTTGGGTGAATGAAGTTGGGAGGGCCGTGCGCTGGTAGCCTTGCAACCTGAGAGCCTCCAGACTTGCAAGCGCCTCCAAGTCCTCTGGCAACACAAATTCCTCCAAGTGTAAACAAAGGGCCTTGAGAGCCTTGAGGCAGCAGAACCCTCCTGGCAGCAGCCAAATGGGGCTGAACCTCGCTGGCAGCAGCCAAGGGTGGTCACCATTAACCAGAAACAGTGCCTCAAGAGACGTCAGATGAGAGAAGGAAGCAGGGAGTTTCGAGAGAGACAATTCTTCTAGCACGAGCACTTTGAGGGCAGGCAAATGACCGAAGTTGCTTGGTAAGGTGGTAAATGCATAGGAATGAGAGATGTCGAGGGCTTCCAAACGGCTCAACGAGGTGAAGCTTTCAGGCAGGTGACTGAATTTAAAGCAGTCGCGAATGGTAAGCTTGCGAAGGCAAGGCAACACGTCTCCAATGCTGTCAGGAAGGCTCTCGAGCTCGCTGCACTTGGTGATTAGCAGATCCTCTAGCACGGTGAACGGCGATGCTGATGCGAAAATGGGGTTTAAATCAGGGCAAGACATGAAAATGTTGACCGATTTTAGGCAAGACGGCAACGTCACGCTTCCAGCACCTGCCAGCTGATGGCTTTGGTGAGGGGCAAGGGTGGAGAGATGGGCGAGTCGTGGGAGGTGAAAGAGGTCGCGGAAGTGCCAATGGTCCATTGGAAAGGTGATGTACAGAGTGGTAAGGGCAGTGAGGTTGGTAAAACGGGGATTTTCTAGGGCTGAAGCGTTGATGAGAAGAACGGTGTGCAGATGCCTCAACTGGAATAAGGAACTTGGTAGCTCTATGATGTTGTCGAGGCAGAAGAGAGTAACCTGCTCTAATTCAGGAAGCTCTTGAAAGAACCATTCCAGTCCCTCCAAAGTTATCAGATGCCCCGCCTTTCTACGAAAATGCTTGACTGAGCCTTCAAGACGAAAGGGCGATTCCCGTGCAAAGCTCCTCCCCACGTGCAGAGTCGTCAGTTTTGGGCATGACGATGCGAGGTGAACAAGAAAGGAATCGTCAAGCGACTCGAAGCTGTTGTCGCTGAGATGCAGGTGGGTGAGGTTGGGAAAACATGCGACGGCAGCTGAAAGATCTTCGCAGGACACCAGGCGGTCCTCTTTTACGAGCAGTGTGGTGACGTGAAGCTTCACTAGACGACGCCAACGACGGCAAACGGACGCGATGAGGAGATTTCCGGCCACGTCAGCGACTGGGGAAGGCTCTGATATTGGGGTCTTGACTATCAGACATGCTCTATCCCCACTTTCGTAAGGAGACCATTCATAACTAGAGGTCCACAAGCTATCTATGTAGGATTCGCATGTAGCGTGCTGCTTCAAGGATCGCCTCATGATCGCAAAGAGAAGGTCGTCTGGCAAATTACTGATGCTCGTGTGAGGCTCCATCCCGGAAATTCAGATGTCAGGACTGTTAAACTAGGAGATGATGGACTAGGAACGGCAAGGAGTTAAGACGTGGGTCTAAGCATCACGATGGAAAAGAATCAGAATACTCACGGGGAGAGTACGTATTAACGGAGTGGTGAGTCCAGATCTAGTAGCATACTCCCTTCATGTGCGATCTGCCCATGAGTGGAGAAATGAGAGTTGATGAGAGGAGAGCCACACGAGGGTGGAGAATGTGATGAAAGGCAATTGAAGGGTGGACGGCGTGTTCGAGATTGGTGATGACGTCCTAAAAACGACAGCCAGTTAAACAAGGGATGCAGCAACGGCCCTCGACAAGCCTAATGCGGGACGGTGGTGGTATTCGAGTTTCGATTTCGTGTAATCCGTGACACCAAGGTCACTCCATTGAACGCCATTCGATCCAGTTTGGTGGACGACGCTTGCTTTTCACTTCCTGTGACCGATGCTGGATCTTGGATGCAGGCATTCCGTGTCGCAATTTCGAGGGCGTTCGGATGAAGCGAAAACAACGGGTACGAGTGCCACGCGGCAGGAGAAGAAAGCTTGTTTCTCAGGGCCTGAATATTGCGTTCATTTATCGCTCTAGCGCGTCGGACGAAGGGAAGCCATGGCATGAGCTCCAGCTAGCACAGGAGCAGCGGTGGTGCATGAGATGAGCTGAGATGCAATGGAAGACGAGGCTGGGGGAGATAGGGTGCGATTCTCCCCCATCAGGCCTTCCGCCAACCATCCGCAACCATACTGCCCGCCCCTCCCCTCCTCAAGGTCGCACAGACACACAAAAGCTGGGAAGGTGTTGTGGTGAGCCTGGCGAACATCGTATCCGTGTGCGATTGTGTCGATGTGCTGTGTTTGTCATTTGGCCTTGGCGAAAGTTCGCCCCTCGTGATAGCCTATCCTCGTGCCAGTTCTTTGAGTAGGTTCGAAAGAGCTCTGTTCTGTCGTCAATCAAACTGGCCAATCACAAGCCATGGTTACCCGGTTCTGTTACCAGCCTCGAGATTCGAGAAATCTCAAGTTCCAACCAGCTCGGCGCGCATTATCGCTGTCGTCAAGCAAACTGGCCAATCACAGGCCATGGTTATCCGGTTCTGTTACCAGGCTCGAGATTCGAGAAATCCCAAGTTCTAACCAGCTCGGCGCGCATTATCGCTGAATGAGAGCAGCTGTCGTGAATGCTTAGCCATGGTGGCTCAGCCATTGCCAGCTCGTTTAGGAAAAGTAATTCCTCCCTTGACTCCCGAATTTGTGCTCTCGAGGCGTCCGGACTGCAGGCCCATATTCGTGCCGTTAGGTGCTTCTCAGGCTCGATGATCAAGCCGCCTGTTCCTCGTGATTGTCCATCGTAGGATTGCGGTAGTGTTACCCACCTCTCCTTCCCAAGCCGCCTACTATGGCGAGCGGCGGCAAGCTGTCCACGTCAGACGCGGCGCTCCAGCTGCTGCTGAAACACGTCAAACCCAATGAGCGACGTCGACGTTGCTACTCGCGCGAGGGAACTCTACGAGCAAGATGCGCTTATCTAGCAGTAGTGGCAAACCCGTTTGACGTGCTCTTGAGACGGGCTCACGTTCGAAACGGTGCAGGGCGGCGTGTCCCGTAATCGACCGCTGCGCCGTTTGCGATCGCCTGCGACGAGACATTCTGTGCTGCCATGCGACGCTTCGCATTCGCGAAGGCAGGCATATCCCGTGTGTGAGTGCATGCGAGTGTGTCTCATCCCGTGTCCGCATCAATGAGCAGGGCCGTGGCGTTCCGGGGCTTGGCGCCAGGCATAGAGGGAGCAGCAGCAGCGCATCAGGAGCGAGTAGAGCGCAGGCGGCGGCAGGAGAAGGCGAGGAGGGAGCGGGAGACGAACGAACGCGACATTCCCTGGTGCCATGCGACGCTTCGCATTCGCAAAAAAGCACCGACGAATGGAAACGTGGCCTCCAATTCCAAGCGAGCGATATCGCTAGCTGTGAACGTCAACGCCACACTGCAAGCTCTCTCTTCTCTCCGACCCTCCGCTTGCACCTCCTCCACCTGTCCCTCCCCTCCCCTCTTGCCCGCTCCTCCTCCCTCCGCCTGCGGCCTTCTTACGAGATTGAGATTCAGTGGCTGACGTGGCAGCTCCTGGGACTTTCCACGTGTCCCCAGTGGGAAAAACGGGGGGCACGGAGTGCTGGAGAGTGGGTGACGTGGCGGTTTTCAGCGATGTCAAGAGTGCAATGGAGCGCAGTGCTCCCATCGTCCTGGAGCAGGAGCAGCAGGTGGGGGCGGCGAGGGAGAAGAAGGTGAGAGCAGCTGCGGGGAGGGAGAGCAGCAGGTGAGAGTAGAGCGGGAAGGGCGGGCCGAGCAGATGTGTATGCGAGGTCTGTTTGCCTCGCCTATGAGAGTTGCGAGTGTTGTCAAGGCAGCAGATGCTGGCAGGGTAACTGGAGAGGCGGCATAAGACGAGTCCAGGAGGCGAGCTGTGGGAGAGTGTATGACAATGCGACTTGATTGCAGAACCAGAGTGCAGCGACTTGTGATGCCCTGAGGAAGTCCCACTCAGTGCCTTGCTAACCGCTTTGACCATCGGTCTTTGCGAGCTTTCTCAGCAACGACTGTTCCTTTGCTTTCTCACGTTCGCATGAACTGGGTGTTTCTGTTTTCAGATCCCTGCCTTGTCAGTGCTGACCCCCCTGGCCGTCCCTCCTTTACATTTTCTCGTGCCCTGCTCGTCCTGCCCTGGGCTTTCTGAATAGGCCTCTGCTCCCTCATTTCACCTTTCTCTGCCCATCTCCCCCATCTCCCCCATCTCCCCCATCTCCCCCATCTCCCCCATCTCCCCCATCTCGCCCATCTCGCCCATCTCGCCCATCTCGCCCATCTCGCCCATCTCGCCCATCTCGCCCATCTCGCCCATCTCGCCCATGTCGCTCTGATTGGATTGGGATGCATGCATGCCACGTGCCCCCATCAGGAGGTCGCCCACGAGTTCCTCTGCTCGCCGATGCACTGCCTTGCCTCCGGAGCCGCCACCATCGCCGCTGCCGCCGCCTCTCCCACCCACGCCCACACGCTGAACCACGCCCATGCCCCCACCAATGAGATTCCTGCGTGTATTTCGCTCACCTGCCGAACCTCATCGGTCGCAATCCTTCTCCTGACTGTCGCTGCTGCATGTTGATGCGATGCGAATCCCCATTCGCGCCGGTCGGATGATGCTGTGCTGCCCACCTGCTGCATGCACAGCCTGATCAAGCTTCTCTCAGGCTCTTCGAGGCGTCGTGGATGCTGTGCATTCATGCTTTCCGTATTGTTGGGGGCGGCGAATCAGAGGGTTGCAACGACAACGACGTGGCAATGCTGATGATACGTCACACCTTTTCGTGTTTCTCTATTCCGCGGCGTCACGACAGCAAGCCGTTTTGATGCGGATGCTATGCTGTCATGCCAGATTGGCTTTATGGGATATGATAAGGAGAAGAAGGTGAACGAGAAGATAAAGTAGCATGCACTGCGGCAGGCGGCAAGTCGAGCGGGAAGATAAAGTAGCGTACGCTGCTAGCGCTGTTTGGCGTTGTCGGCGCTAGGATTAGTGGCGGCAGGGAGAGCGGGAGGGAGGGCGAGGGGGCAGTGAAGGGGGGCTGCTGATGGGTCTGGAGCAGAGGCCATGGAGGCCAGGTTTGGCGTTTGATGGGGGGACGGCGTACGGTTGATTGACCAGTGGGATATCGCCAACAGGTGAGAGCGGTGAGAGGTGGGCACGCGTGTGAGAGTCACTCGAGGGAGCAGTTAAGGGGGTCGAATTGGGGTGAAGGGTGTGTTGAAGGGGCAGTGAAGGAAGGGAGCTGTTGGAGGTGGCGCAGGCCATAGCGGGGGACTTGGGGGCGTTTGACAAGCTAGTTATCATCGCCAAGGCGAGAGTCGGTGCGGCGCGTCGGACATGCTTGTAGGAATCACTTGAGCCACTCGAGACACTCGAGGAATCACCGTCAGCAGCGGTGGAAAGGAGCTGTTGAATTGTTGGGCATCCAACAATCCAACTCCTTGTAGGAGTCTCTGAAAATACGTTACGGGATGATGAGGAGTTGGTCAAGAGTTGGTGGGATGTTGATTGGTGAGGAGTCGCTGTGGATTCGGTGAGAGTGGTTATGGGATAGTCGTGAGAGTGAGTGGAGGGAGGGAGCTGATGAATGGCACCCTCCACTCACCCTCCAGTTCTGCACCGCTTCTCCTACACGGACTCACAGGCTCACGCCCCTAAGGCACTGCCTCCAACATCCCTCCTTCCCTCATCCATCTCATTTACGCACTACTTCCCTCCTTTCCCCCGCTTCGACCCTGCTTCTCCTATTCTGACTTGCAGCCCAAAGGTTCGCACCCCTACGACACTGTCTCCCACATCCCTCTCATAAGCCACTGCACCTATTCGTTCTTTCCCCCCTTCTCCCTCCTCTTCCCTACTCCTCCCAGCTCCGCACCTGCTTCTCCCATGCCAACGTTCGCCCCACAGATTTCCAACCCTACGGTGGCGGCACACTGCTCTCACGCATACTCTCCCCATTACACCTCCCCCAACCCTCCCACACTAATGTCTGCCCCACAGATTCGTGTCCCCACGGTGGCAGCGTACTGCTCACCAACGCACTATCCCTCCCCCTCCCCTTCCTTCCCACCTCCCCCAACCCTTCCCACGTCTTTCCACCAGCTCTGCTCTGCACTGCCCATTTTGAAGCGTTGCACCGATGTCTGGCCCATGAGTTCCTGCCGCTGGAACATGGTGGCACTCTTCACAGCAAGCCTGTGGGCTGCCGAGTGCACACCTTGCCAAGGCTGTTCCCAGGGAAACCGCAGGCTGCTGAGGCTGCAATCTGTTCCAAGTCCAATGATGGCGACTAGATTGGTGCACTGTTGTCCCACAACCACCTTTGATCCACGCACGCACGCCCTTATGGTGCAGGCTCACCTCGCTGTCCACGCCCGGACTCGTGGGAGGCGCTGGTGGTGAAGCTGGGCGAGGTTGCTGGGTGCACCGAGGGCGGTGTTCTTCCTCAAGCACGAGCGGAGGGAAGAGCAGATGAGGGGCGTGGGCTGCTTATGGGTCGCTAACAAGTCACTGGGGTGGCTGCTCGTGATCTGGGCCAGGCTGTGCTCTTAGGTCACCGGTATTAGGTAACTTCCGGGTCATTCTCACATCACACTTGGGGTTTCACTTCTGGGTCACTCTCTGGTGCCATTCAGCTGTATTTTAGGTTCCTGAAAGGCTGGAGGTTGATCCACGAGAGGACGTTTGCCTTGTAATGGTGCTTTTCAAGGTGCTCAATACTCGATGCGTGCTTCATGCCCTGTGAATGCCCTGCCCTGGTGTTCATTCAAGGTGACAATGCGGGACTAATGGGGACCGACACTCTACACCGTCGCTCCTTTCTTCCTCCCTCCTCCCAACACTCACCTTCTCTCTAACCTACCTCATTTGCATTTCCCTCTGGCCTCTCCTGGGCTGTTTCGCCCGCATCTCCCACTAACACCTCCCCCAATCACTCACCGCGTGTCAAAACAGATCTACTTATACATCGCCACCTCCCTCCCCTCCTCACCCCCGACCCCTCTCCCATCGTTCATCGCCTCTGTCTCCTCCATCTCACTGTCGTTTCCCTCTAGACCTTCTCTCGCTGTCTTGCTGCTCTCTCCCACTGCCCCCCCCTTCGTCTAATCACCCTCCAGGTGTGCATTGTGCCACCGTCACTCTCCATCATTGTCCCCCATTACCCATCCCTTCACCCATCCCCTTACCCATCCCTTCACCCATCCCCTTACCCATTCCCCCCATCCCCTTACCCATCCCTTCACCCATCCCCTTACCCATTCCCCCCATCCCCTTACCCATCCCTTCACCCATCCCCTTACCCATTCCCCCCATCCCCTTACCCATCCCTTCACCCATCCCCTTACCCATTCCCCCCATCCCCTTACCCATCCCTTCACCCATCCCCTTACCCATTCCCCCCATCCCCTTACCCATCCCTTCACCCATCCCCTTACCCATTCCCCCCATCCCCTTACCCATCCCTTCACCCATCCCCTTACCCATTCCCCCCATCCCCTTACCCATCCCTTCACCCATCGCCTTACCCATTCCCCCCATCCCCTTACCCATCCCTTCACCCATCCCCCTACCCATTCCCCCCATCCCCTTACCCATCCCTTCACCCATCCCCTTACCCATTCCCCCCATCCCCTTACCCATCCCTTCACCCATCCCCTTACCCATTCCCCCCATCCCCTTACCCATCCCTTCACCCATCCCCTTACCCATTCCCCCCATCCCCTTACCCATCCCTTCACCCATCCCCTTACCCATTCCCCCCATCCCCTTACCCATCCCTTCATTCACCCATCCCCTTACCCATTCCCCCCATCCCCTTCCCCATCCCTTCACCCATCCCCTTACCCATCCCTCACGCATCCCTTACCCATCCCTTCACTCATCCCCTTACCCATTCCTTCACTCATCCCTCACCCATCCCTCACCCATCCCTTACCCATCCCTTACCAGTCCCCTCACACACTGATCACGCATCACTATCCCTGTGTCCCCCGTTCCTCTCAACCACCCATCAGACGTGCATACTCCAAGCAGTACTACCTTCCATCCCTCGTCACTCGCAAGCAGCCCCTACACTTGCAATCACGCGTCTCTGTCCCTGTACCTCGCTTCCCCTGTCACCCATCAGCAGTAATACCGGCAGGGTCGCCTTCAGCAAGCCTTTAAGAGCAGAACAATTGGACGGTACATGGAAGGATGGGGAAGTAAAAGGGTTCTGAAGGGAGCAGTTGGAGGGAGAGTTGGTCATTGTGTGTGGAGCTGGTGTGCTGCATCTTTCTGCCTATACTCCCTGAATATATGCGTGCCCGTGCTTCACTATTCTCACCGCCCAACAACAATGTTTATGTCCGCTCCAACCCCCCCACCGACTTGTGACCTGCAGTATTCAAAGACTGCAGCAGGCTCGATTCAGTCCCCATCCGCTTGAGGATGCTCACCAGGTTGATCTACTTGGAACCGAGTGGCTGTGAGAAGAAGCCCACGCACAGGCAGATGCCCGTGTCACTTGCCGGCCTCGCTTGAGGTTGCAAGTTCGAAGTTGTGAGGCATGCCCTATGACAGCAGCGAGACTCTTCTCTCTCACATGTCTCCATGCTGTTAAGCTGTAGAGACTGAGGTTAACAGTTGCGACTGAGCTTCATGGCCAAATCGTGACTACTGTATGTCATGAAATATGTATGTGCATGCATGCACTTTTCAACTTGAGTACGGTACCGAATTTTTCTCATCGTCTAAAGGAATAAAGTTCATCCTGCACTGACACGCTTCTAGTGTGACTGCCATCCCTCTCTTGATGCAGTGCCAAGTCACGTCTTCCATAGTTTCAGCTCAGCATGGATGCCTATTATGTGATGCATTCGGTTGGATAGTACAAAGTTAAACTGAAATCATGCAGATACTGAAAGTAGTCTGGTCTGGACCCTCTACAATAAAGGGGCCCAAGCACAGTAACAATCACGTTCAGCTCTGGAGCTTGTCACAGCCTCTCGTAAGGAGAAGATCAAGCATTCTGAAATCCGCAATGTCACTCGGCAGAGCCTCCAGTTGCTTGCAGTTACGCAGATTAAGCCACCTCAGTCTGCTAAGCTGAGCGAGGCCAGGGGGAAGTAATCGGATGGGGGTGTTGCTGACATCCAAAATATGAAGGCAGGAGAGCTGCGTGAGGGAAGCAGGGAGACGCGCGAGGGATGAGCAGTTGGATAAGTCCAGCCTGCGCAGTCGTGAGAATGCTCCAATGGTTTCCGGAAGAGAAGACAAGTTTGGCGCATGGATTTGCATGGATGTGAGGTGGTCGAGAGTGGTGATGGGCGCAGGCAGCTCCGTGAGTTCATCACATGTGGTGTGAATGTTCAGCTGCCTCAGCTCCTGCAATGCGGAGCCACCACATTCCACCAGCTTCTTTATGCTGCGCACCTCCTTCAGTGTCAAAGAGCGGAGGTGAGAAAGCCTTGTCAAAGCGAACAGAAACTCATCTGCATCTTCCTCCAGCACCAGCTCCAGATGCTCCAGACCAGAGAGATGGTAACCGATGGCCAGTAGGCATCTCGCACCGACAACGCCCAGCAGCAATGTTCGGAGCTCAGAAAGCCGTGAAATGCAGGGCAGCACCACCTGCTCATTGTTTTCACACGATAGAATCTGGAGAGCGAGAGGCAGAGCCTGAGGGGCTTTGTTCAGCTGCTCACATCCCCTCAGCTCCAACTGTGTGAGCCTGGTGAGGCTGTCCAGTGTCATGGGAATTGCAGAGAGGCTGGAACATTTTACTATCACGAGCACCCGGAGGCTGACAAGGCCGGACACAGATTCTGGAATCTCTGAAATGTCACGGCAGTTGCGAATGTACAGCTCCTGCAGCTTTGCCATCTTCCCCACTCCCTCTGGAAGTCCACCCACCCTGCAGTAATCCAGCTCCAACCTGGTCAGTGACGCCAGCTGTGAGAATGATGACGGCAGCTGCTCGCTGCAATTCTTCTTGAGACGGAAAGTCTGGAGATTGATGAGGCCGCCAATGTCCTCCGGAAGTTCCAGGGTCGGGGAGCACACAAGAGACAGCGTTTGAAGCGCTGTGAGACAACCAAATCCTGCAGGTAGATCATACACCTCCTTGCACCCGAGCAGAAAAAGCGTCTCCAGAGATCCGAGTCTGGTGAAGGAAGAAGGGAGACGGAGAAGTGGCAGCTTGTGCAGCACGAGCGTCTTCAAGGCTGGAAGCTTCCCAAAGTTTGCAGGTAGAGTGAGCCTGGAGCATGCGGATAAGGTCAAGCTCTCCAGACACGTAAGAGAGGTGAACTGATCAGTCAGAACGCTAAAGTGTTCGCTCTCACTGATGCTGAGCTCTTGGAGGAGTGGCAGCACCTCTCCGATACTGCTTGAAAGCTGGCCTTGGTTGAAGCGGTGGCTGAGCTGCAATCGTTTCAAGAACCTGTATGGAGATCCGGGTGAAAAAATGTCGCTGAACTGTGCAAAATTCAGTTCAAGTTTCAGCGACTCGAGAGGTAGCTGTGCGAGGGAGAAATCAGGTGTCTCTTGATCAAAATTGCTAATCCTAGGCAAGGAGAGGCGGGTCAGGTTGGTGAGTTGAAGGAGGCTGGAAAGCTGGTCGTAGTGAAGGGAAAAGGTTTCAATAGAGAGTACAGTGAGAGACGAAAGGCAGATGAGGTTTAAAGCCTTCATGGTGGAAGCTCTATTGCCCAAGGCGAGGATGCGCAACGGTAGCTGAGAGAGAGAAGTTGGTTGGTCGATGCCTCCGTTAAGGCAGTACAGCGAGAGCTGCTCTAGCTGAAGGCAGTGACGGGAGAGATGTTCCAAGCCAAATCCAACTCTCTGAACCTTACTCCTATGTCGTCCTCTCACAGAAACCATCAACTCGCCAACGTGCAGTGCTCTCAATCTTGGGCAAGCAGAGGCGAGGTCAACAAGAAAAGAGTCATCCAATGTCTCAACACTGAAATCCGACAGATGCAGATGGGTCAGATTGGAGAAGCAAGCAACGGCGTTGAGGACATCCCGATGAGAAACGACGCGGTGTTCCTTGACTAGGAGCGTCGTGACATGGCTCTGAGCGAGACGCCGCCAGCGACGGCAAATCGACGCAATGAGGAGGCTATGAGCGGCATCTGCAGAGGCCGGAGGGGTCGGCATGGGAGAGTCTCTTCGCCATGGTGAGATCTCTGGGTAAGCGTTGTAAAAGTACTTGGGTGTGAACGGCGGAAGAGGACTCCAAAGTTTATCGCTCTCAGATGTGTATGCTTCTGATCGTTCGGAAGGCCAAAAGATGCTGATCAAGACATCGTCAGGGAGATGATGGATGTGAGTTTTACGCGACCCCATGTCAGTGAAGAAAACGAAAACGGCAGGGGAAAGCTCCGTGTATGAGTACTAACGGATTGACTCAACACTAATTCCCTCCGAACTGCAGCTCACAGCGACCTCGATCGCCGGTAAAATCAGCGACCTCTATAGATCCTGCCTTACTAACTCCATAGGACACTGACGACTATGCAATTCCTTGAGTAGCACAAGTGCGACTGTGTACTGCTTCGCGCACTCAGCCGCCTCTCTAGTTAGAGCAACAGCTATTTCGACATTTCTGAAAACAGGTCGCGGCTCATACGAAGCACCATCCACGAAATCAACGGATGACAGGCTGAGGAGCTGTAAGCTGTTGAGAAAGGGGAGAGCAAAGTGTCAAAAGGAGTGGGTCCAGATCTGTGTGATAGACTAGTAGTTGATCTGCTGAGGATTCGAGATATGAGAGGTAGGAGGAGGGATGTCAAAGGTGATGCAAGGAAATGAAGGGCGGGCGTGTTCAACAGAAGTGTTTACATTCTGAAAATGACACTGGTTTCGACAAGTGATGCAACAACCATTCATGATAGACTTGCGTAGATTGGGGCAAAAACTGGATTGGAGTTTCGATTTCGGCTGATCCGAAACACCTGGGGTCACTCCCTTGCGAAAGTCTGTGCTGAATTTGCGTTTGTCGTCATCGGCTTTGGCGAAATATCTGGTCTGGGCCGACCAGAGCAGGCTCAGAAGTGTCCAGCTCGTCAGTCGCAGAGACCTTGATAACACTTGTTACCAGCCTCGAGATTCGAGAAATTTCAAGTTCGGACCGGCCAGTTCGGCGCCGAAGCCGTTGTTTGTTGCTGAGCCATGGCGGCCCTACCTAACCAGCTAGAACAGGAAGAACAACGCGTTTCGGCTTATACATTCAATTACAATGCCTACAACGCCTCCCTAGTCTGTCAGTTTCGTGCTCCTCGAGGCTTACGGGACTGCACATACATATTCGTGCTGTCGCCTGCATCCTAGGCTCGATGCTCAAGCCGCGTGAGATTATGTGACCTAGTTTTTTCGAGCCGCATACAGAGGCAAAATACTATGTCTTTTCTCCTCAAGAATCACTCGGTTTATTCAGATTCCCTATAGCTCCTGTTCGATCAGTAGTTTATCGGCTGATCATGAGCGCGGATGGGCTAGACTGGCAGCGTCCCTGCCTGAACCCTAATACCGAACGGCAAGGTAGAATCGTCACAAAACTCACGAGCGAAAAGAAAATCCGGATTCTGCTTTGGGAGGGCGACTGGGAAGTTGGAACCGCGATTCTAGGTGGCGGACTGCGCGCGTGAAGGTGGAGGATGGGTGTTGTGCGGCTCGGCGACTGATAGTGAAGTCGCAGGCTTTGCGATATCTGACCAGGTACGCGATGTTGGTCAGATCAGCGCTCCTGTGGACGCACAAGAGGAGAAGGATATGGGTACATTGAAGCTCAAAGAGAAGAGGAGGAGAAGAAGAGGGAGAAGAATGGCGGAGGCAGCATGTGCTGTGGCAGTGGTGGAGAAGAATGACAGAGGCTCTGAGGGGTTGTTGTGGGTGGGATGTGTGAGAGTCACTCAGACTGGTGCGGGGCGCGGTGAAGGGAGGGTGAAGCGGCGGTGAAGGAAAGGGAGCTGAAGGAAAGGACGGTGAAAGAGGGTAAAGATGGGTCTGTGCTTGACGGGGCTGGCGGAGGGTGCGGTTGAGAAGCTGATGCGCTGGCCAATGTGAGCAGCTCTGAGCAGTCAATGCGGGGCAGGGACGACGTGTGCGAGAGTCACTCCATCCAACCATCCAGCTCCGCTCCACTCCTGCTTGCTGTTCCCATGCCCCCTCGCACCCACTCGCACAGCCATTCTGCTTGCCAATGCACCCCCGGACCATCCCTTACCCCCTTGTGTTACCCGTACACACTCTGTGTTACCCGCTCCCGCGCCTTTACCTATCCCCCATCTGCTTACCCCTTCATTAATCTTGCACCTCTCCCTCCGCTTACCTCCTCTCCCTCGCCTTACCTCCATCCCTTCCCTTACCCTTTTCTTCCCCTTCCCGTCCCCCTTCCCGTCCCTTCCCCTTACCCGCTCCTCTTTCCCGCAACCCACTCCCCCTCTTTATCCCCTCCCTTTACCGGTACCCTTTCCCATGTTCTATTCTCCTTCTCCTCCCCCCTCCCGTACCCCGTCCCCCAGTCCAGGCGCCAGGCTCTGCCTCGACCACTGACCTGCCTTGCGGCTCGATTCCGGCGAAATCAATTTGTGTGGGCTGATTGCAATGTGCGTGCGCAGGCATCACCACGCCGCGCGTGTCAACCTGGACGATGACCGCGCCGTGCCTCACCTGGATGATTGCCCCCCAGGCTACCTGTGCGTGCGCCTGCGTCACCTGCACCCCCACGTTCCGCCCGCCTGCCAGAACCCACATGGATCTCGTGTCGACCTTACAATCGTGTGTCTGCCTGGGCCCTCCTGCTACCTTTCCCATCTCACCATGGCGCAGCTCCGTTCCCGCCCTCCCTGCTCCTTCCCTCTCCCAACTCCCTCTCCCGCTCCAACTCCGCACCTGTGAAGATTGGAAGTTGAATTAATGATCAGATTAGAGAGGAAGCCTAGCATACATAGTTTGGAAGAGAGGTGTGGAAGGGAAAGGGAGGAAGGTGGAAATGGGGGAGTGAACCAACCTATGGCCCATAGGGTTGGGTTGGACTCACTTTGGGGAGTGGGGCAACCTATGGCCCAATGGGTTGGGTTGGCCTCACTTTGGGAAGTGGGGTAACCTATGGCCCAATGGGTTGCATTTGGGGGCTCCACCACAATTGGGTGGATTGGCACCCCAAGTGCAAGACTACACCCAATGTTGGGTGTAGTCCCAACCCAACTGTACACCACAATTGGTGTACAGTCACATGTGCTTAGCATGCTACAATATATAATTCTAACACAACCCCTTAGCATGCTAACACAAGAAGAGAACAACCCCTAATTCAAGGGGCGCCTGGGCGAGCGAGACCAATGAGGTGAAGGAAAGCGGAGTGCGCAGGGCGAAGGAGGGCCTTGGTGAAGTTGTCGGCCAAGTTGGCCTCGGACGCGATTTTGCGAACGGCAATAAGGCCCTTCTGGACAAGTTCGCGAATGAAAAAGTAGCGGAGCTCGATGTGCTTGGAGCGGGCATGATAAACGGGGTCCTCAGTGAGATGGATAGTGCTGGCATTGTCGCACCAGAGAGTGGGGCACGTCTGGGGAGCGCCAAGCTCTGCAAGTAGGAAGCAGAGCCAGCGGGATTCCTGAGCAGCCATGGTGCCGGCGTAGAGCTCGGCCTCGCAGGTGGAGAGAGAGATGGCGGAGGAGCGGGTGGAGCGCCATCTGATGAGGCCGCTGCCAAGGGCGAAGCCGTAGCCCTGGGAGGAGCGGCGGTCCGGCTGCGTGTCAGCCCAAGAGGAGTCGCTGAAGCCCGAGAGAAGAGGAGGGGAAGGACCGCCAAGGGTGAGGGCAAGGTCCTTGGTTCCGCAAAGGTAGCGGAGGACCCGCTTGGCAGCCTTCCAGTGCTCCTCAGTGTGACGACCGGTGCCGACGAAGCGAGCGAGCACGCTGATGGGGTAGGCGAGGTCGGGGCGGGTGCACATCATCGCGTACATCAGAGACCCAACGAGCTCGGCATAGGGGTGGGGGGAGGAGGTGGGAGAGGTGGGTGGAGCGAGTTGGTGGCCGAAGGGGAGGGGGGTGGAGACGGGTTTGGCCAGCGCCATGTCGAACTTCTCCAAGACCTGGCCGATGTAATGGGACTGGGAGAGGGTGATGGTGCGAGCAGGGCGGTCACGCGTGATGGCCATGCCCAGGTAGTGGGAAAGGGCGCCAAGGTCTTTGCACTTGAGCTGCTGCTGCAGGGCCTGCTTCGTCTGCGCCATGTCGGCCTTGGTGTCAGAGAGCAGGATCATGTCGTCGACATACACCAGAATGAAGAAGCGGCGGGGGGAGGAGCGGATGAAGAGGCTGGCGTCGGAATGGGAAGCAGAGAAGCCAAGAGATCCTAAGGTGGCAGCCAGCTTTGCATGCCATTCGCGCGGTGCCTGCTTCAAGCCGTAGACAGGGCGACGCAGCTGCCAGACAGTGTTCTCAGGGAAGGCTGCGTGGAACCCGGGTGGGCGCCGGAGGAAAATGCGCTCGTGCAGGTCGCCCTGCAGGAACGCATTGGAGACGTCCATGGATTCGATCTCCATGTTGTCACGCGCACCAATGTCCATGACTGTGCGAAGGGTGGGGGGTTTGGCGGTGGGAGCGTAGGTGCCCCAGAAGTCCTCCCCATGTGTCTGGGTGAAGCCCTTGGCGCAGTAGCGGGCTTTGTAGACGGGGTCCTCGTCCGGCAGCTGCTTTACCCGAAAGACCCACTTGCCCTCAACAAGGTTGGCATCGGCAGGGAGGGGGACGTCAACGAAGGAGTCGTTGCGGATAAACGCCTCGCATTCCTGGAAGATTGCCGCTATCCACTTGTCCGCGTCAGGGCATGTGATGGCCTCTTAGAAGGTGGAGGGAGTGAAGACGGTGGGGGTGGAGGTGGCACCGAGAACGGGGAAGCCAAGGAAGTCAAGAAAGAGGGTGGCTAGGAATGGAGTGTGCTGCTGGATGGTGAGAAACTCCTCGTGAGAGTCTTCAAGGAGTTGAAGGGAAGGAGGAGGAGGAGGGGTCCCAAGGATGCGATCCAGGGAACGGGTGTGCATGCGGGGAAGGAGAAAGGGGGAGGAGCGAGAGGTGACGCGCTGTTGGTGCGGGGGATGGTGGGGCTGCCCCTGCTGAGGCCGCTGCTGCTGCTGCTGCTACTGCGGCTGCTGCTGTCCCAGTTGCCGCTGCTGCTGCTGCTGCTGCCCCGGCTGCTGCTGAGGCGGCTGTCCCGGGTGCTGCTGCTGCTGCTGCTGCTGCGGGTCCGGCTGCTGGAAGGAGGGAGAGGGAGAGGAGGAGGGAGAGGGGGGAGGGGGTGCGGCCGAGTGAGCGGGGGAAGGAGGTGCGGCAGGGTCGTAGACGTCGGCAGAGGAGGAGGGCGGGAGCGGGGCGGCGACGGGTGGGAGGAGAGGGGCGGGAGGGAGGAGGGGCGGGAGGACTGTGTCGGTCCAAGCGAGGGGACGAGTGGGAGGAGGAAGAGGGTCAGGGGGAGGAGTGGAGTAATAGGGAACGGATTCGTCAAAGACGACGTCGCTGCTGCGGATGAGGCGATTGGTGGGAGGGTGGAGGAAGAGGTAGCCGGGGGAGTCCCGGCCCGGTTGTGCCCAAGGTAAACGCATTCCAGGGCGCGAGGAGCAAGCTTGCCAGTGGCGCGGGAGCGGTCGGCGGGTGGGATGAGAACGAAGGCCTTGCAGCCCCAAACGCGAAGGCCGGCAGCGTCTGGTTTGGAGTTGGACCAAAGCTCTGTGGGGGAGGAGGAAGGATGCTGAGGGTGCGAGCGGAGATTGAGGAGAAGGGCGGCGTGGAGGAGGGCATAGCTCCAGAGGGAAGGAGGGGTGGAAGCATGAGCAATGAGACAGCGAGCGATCTTGGTGATCTCACTCTCAGCAATGCCGTTTTGCTGAGGGGAGTGGGGAAGGGTGGAGGTCTGTTGGATACCGTAAGTTTTGCAGTATGTGGCGAGAGTGTGATTGATGAACTCACCGCCACCGTCAGAGTGAAGGCGGCCGATGGGGCGTTTGAAGTGATTGCGGCACAGCTCGGCCCAGTTGATGACCACAGCCGGCACCTGATCTTTCGTGTGAAGAAAGAAGGTGGTGGAGTACCGGCTGTGGTCGTCAACAAGGACGAGCATGTACCGATGCCCCTGGCGGGAGCGGATGGGATAGGGGCTCCAGAGGTCCATGTGCACAAGGTCAATGGGGGCGGCGGCGAAGGTGGGATGACTGTGGGGGGGGGACTGCTTGAGCTTGCCGTGAATGCAGGATGGGCATGGGGGAGAGGGGGAGGAGGGGAGGGGGGGTAAGACGGGAGGAAGGCTGCGGAGGAGGCGAGAGGTGACGGTGGTGCGAAGGGCGGTGAAGTTGGGATGGCCGAGTCTGTGGTGTAAGAGGACGGCAGGGTGCGAGAGGGTAGTGGAGGAGGAGGGAGATGGGGTGACGGAAGGGACGGGAGGAGAGGAGGATGGTGGGGAGGGAGATGAGGATGCGTGAGGGGGAGGGGAGGGGGGAAGTAGGGGAGGAGGAGGTGGGCCGGTAGTAGCACCGGAACGGGTGGTGACATGGCAGAAGGATGGGCGAGGTGTGTGGAGTGTATAGAGGCGAGTGCGGGGACAAAGCGGAATGCGGAGGAGGAAGCGGCCAGAGGAGGTTTGGTAGAGATCACAGTAATTGGCATAACCGGGGTAAATGACGGTAATACCAACACCTTGGAGTTCACGGTGGGAGAGGAGGTTGTTGCGGAGAGTGGGGATATGGAGACCTATAACCTTACCGGAGGGGAAGGCAGTGCAAGGGAGGGTGGAGAGGTGAGTGCATGGAATGGAAAAGCTGGAATCAGCTCCATGAACCTGAGTGGGAAGTGGTAGGGGGGTGAGAGTGCCAGCGTCTTTCAGTGCGGTTTCAGTGGCTCCACTGTCAAGGACAAAGTCCAGGGTGGGGGAAGAGGGAGGAGGAGGGGGCACGGGATACTGGAACGAAGTCTCATTGATAGCAGAGGGATACATGGAAGCGACGGACGGTGCAACACTGAGATTACCAAGGAAACTACTCGAAGTGTCGGGGACGGTTGGGGGGGCAGAGGGGAGGGAACCCCAGGGGGGAGTAAGGGAGGCATGAGCGGCCATAGCCGCTGTGCCGAAGGTCATCGGCTGCTGCTGCCATAGTGGCGGAGGGAATTGCTGCTGCGAATGCAGAGGAGGCTGGAAGAATTGGGGCGGCGGTGGCGGCTGCTGCGGCTGGAGAAACTGCGGCTGCTGCTGGAACTGCTGCTGGAAGTACTGGTGCTGCTGCTGCTGATGCTGCTGAAACTGCTGCAGCTGGGAAGGCGGGGAGGGGGTAACCAGGCGGAGGTGAGCGGGGAGGAAAGAGGGGAGAGTTTGAACATCCACCAGGGAGGGGCGAGGGGTGACAGTGTTCCAACGAGGAGGGGTGCAAGTGTTGCCCCGATCGACCCAGGCGTCATCGAGCGCCTTGAAGCACGTGGCGGGGGGATGGTTGGTTTGGCCACAAGGGGTACTAGCATGGGGACCATGGCGGCTCACATACGTGCATGGGGGGAGAGTGCCAGGGCGACCGCCTCGAGTCACCGCACCCCCAGCACCGGAGGGTCCTCCAGCAGAGGTGCCGCCAGCGCTACCACCACCACCACCACCACGGCCACCACGGCCACCACCACCGCCACCACCACCACCGCGACCTCCACCACCACCGCCACCTGCTCCACGACCTCCACCGCCGCTGCTGCGACCACCCTGGTTGCGCGGCTGTGTAGCATTGAGGGAGCTGGAGGAGGAGGACTGAGGGGTGGTAAGGTTGACGATGGGTGTGCGGAGCTTGACCTCCGTGTTAATAATCCACTGGACCACGTCGTTGAGGCCGGCCAAGGGGTTTGCCTCAGTGAAGGCATGGAGGCGGGACTCGTAGTCCGGGGTGAGGTTGTAGAGGAGGCGGTGGATCTGCAGTGGCTCGGGGAGGGCAGCTTGGCGTGCTGAGAGACGATCAGCGACCTCATGCATGCGCCCCACGTAGTCAACTGCGCCATCACAGGTGGCGAGGGTGATGGAGAAGTACTCCTGGAAGAGGGCGCCGACGGAGCTGATGTCGCGGCGCTCGAACATCGCCTGAAGCTCAGCCCAGATGAGGGAGGCGCGCATCTCGCGAGCTTGGAAACGGCGCATGAGGGCATCGGGGAGTGCGCCGAGGAGGATGGTGCAGGCGCGGTTGTCAGCAGTGGCCCATGCAATGCTCTTGGGGAGGTAGTCTGCCATGGCCGCGTTATACTCATCAAGGAGAGCCAGGCGGTTGGCACGTTCTGCTACAGTGAAGTCGTGATGATGCACCGCAACCTCATGCTCCGCCTTGCGGATGAGGTACTCGCGGCGATCGTGGAGAAAGGTGGCGTCGGCGGCCGCCTGGAGCTCTTGGGTGGTGGCGATCTCCAAGGTAGGTTCAGGAGGAGGAGGGCCAGGAGGAATGGGGGGTGGGGGGGGTTCACCAGGGTGATTGGGTGCCGTGGGCTGGAGGGCTTGCGGGCGCGGAGGAGGACGTCGAGGACGCAGTAGGGTCCGACGAATGCGTCCTGGAGAACACGACGGATGCTCCCGACGAAGGAATGCCAGTTGACCGCCGAGCGGTCCGCGGCAAGCTGGAGCTTGTCGACGGAGGAGGCATCAATGGGAGGAGGGAGGGAGGGAGGATTGGTAGCCATGGGAGGCGACAGCGGGTGGACCCGCGGCGGCCTCGAGAGGGACGGCGGCAGGTGGACCCGCGGCGGTCAAGGGAGGAGGCGACGGCGGGTGGACCCGCGGCGGCCGAGGGGGGGGTGGGGGGGGGGGGGGTATTGCAGTTGCGGAGGCGCCGGCTGCTGCTGCTATCGCCGCTGCTGCTGCTGCTGCCGCTGCTGCCGCTGCCGCCACCACCACCGCTGCTGCCGATGTCGCTGCTGCCGCCGCTGCTGCTGCTGCTGCCGCTGCTGCCGCTGCCGCTGCTGCTGCCGCTGCTGCCGCTGCCTCCACCACCACCGCTGCTGCCGATGTCGCTGCTGCCGCCGCTGCTGCTGCTGCTGCCGCTGCTCCCGAGGCTGCTGCTGCTGCGGGAGGAGGGGAGGAGGAGGAGGGGGGGGGGGGGGGGGGGGGGGGAAGAGGGGGAAGACAGTTGCAGCTGTGGGCGGGGCAGTAGGAGCAGCGGGATGCGCGGGTGGCGACGGTAGGTCGCGGTGGCGGGATGCGCGGGCGGCGACGAGCAGGTTGCGGCGGAGGGATGCGCGGGCGGCGGAGAGGAGGTCGCGGCGGGGGGATGCACGAGCGACCGGAGGCCGCGGCGGCGGGATGCGCAGGCGGCGGCGTAAGGTCGCGGCGACGAGGGCGTGCAGGCGGCGACGCGAAGTCGCGGCTGCGGGACGTGCGGCGGCGACGAGGAGTCGCGGCGGCAGGAGGCGCAGGCGGCGCCGAGGAAGGCGCGGCGGCGGGAAGGGGAGGCGGCGACGGGACGACGCGGCTGCGGGAGAGGCGGGCGGCGACGAGGCGTCGCGGAGGGGGTGTGCGCGGGCGGCGCCGAAGCAGGCGCGGCGGCGGGTCTTGCGGCGGCGACGAAGCGTCGCGGCGGCGGGATGCGCAGGCGGCGCTGAAGAAGGCGCGGCGGCGGGGAGGGGAGGCTGCGACGTGACGGCGCGGCCGCGGGAGGGGTAGGCGGCGACGAGGCGTCGCGGCGGGGGGGGATGCGCGGGCGGCGCCGAAGCAGGCGCGGCGGCGGGACGTGCGGCGGCGATGAAGAGTCGCGGCGGCAGGAGACGCAGGCGACGCCGAGGAAGGCGCGGCGGCGAGGAGGGGAGGCGGCGACTGGACGACGCGGCTGCGGGAGAGGCAGGCGGCGACGAGGCGTCGCGGCGGGGGTGTGCGCGGGCGGCGCCGAAGCAGGTGCGGCGGCGGGTCTTGCGGCGGCGACGAAGCGTCGCGGCGGCGGGATGCGCAGGCGGCGCCGAGGAAGGCGCGGCAGCGGGGAGGGGAGGTGGTGACGTGACGGCGCGGCCGCGGGAGGGGCAGGCGGCGACGGGGCGTCGCGGCAGCGGGATGCGCAGGCGGCGCCTGAAGTAGGCGCGGCGGCGGGAGAGGGGAGGTGGCGACGGGGCGTCGCGGTGGGATGCGCAGGCGGCGCCGGAGCAGACGCGGCGGCGGGAGGGGAAGGTGGCGACGGCGTAGGTCGCGGCGAGTATGCTAGGCGGAGCCACACGGAGGAGGGGAATCGTGGCTGAGGGGTGGGCCCATGAAAAATAAAAACTTTAAGGGAAGGAGAGTTAGGCTTAGGAAGAACTAGCTCTGATACCATGTGAAGATTGGAAGTTGAATCAATGATCAGATTAGAGAGGAAGCCTAGCATACATAGTTTGGAAGAGAGGTGTGGAAGGGAAAGGGAGGAAGGTGGAAATGGGGGAGTGAACCAACCTATGGCCCATAGGGTTGGGTTGGACTCACTTTGGGGAGTGGGGCAACCTATGGCCCAATGGGTTGGGTTGGCCTCACTTTGGGAAGTGGGGTAACCTATGGCCCAATGGGTTGCATTTGGGGCCTCCACCACAATTGGGTGGATTGGCACCCCAAGTGCAAGACTACACCCAATGTTGGGTGTAGTCCCAACCCAACTGTACACCACAATTGGTGTACAGTCACATGTGCTTAGCATGCTACAATATATAATTCTAACAGCACCTGTTACTCCTAGCTGAATTCTGCCCCACTGCACTCATTCCCGCCGCTTCTCTCAGCGTGTATTACAATTTCCCACCTTTTGTACGGCCACTTTCTCTCAGCCCCTTGAGATTTTTCAAAACTGATACAAGCATTGCACTGTCCCTTTCCCCTCCTTTCCTGCTCAGCACCTGCTTCTCCCACACCAGCTTCTGCCCCACTGCGCAGACTCGCCGCCCCTCTCTCACAAACCGCTGTGCTGTTTTCTCTTGTCCCCCCGTCCCTCTCCCGTTCCCCACTCCTCCAGCTTCGCACCTGCCTCTCCTCTCCTACACCAACTCTCGCCCCACGGATTGACCAACGGCCGCTCCATGGATTTTCGCCCCACCGGCGTGGGCCCACTGTTCACGGGCAGCCTGCGAGCTGTTGACGTGGCGGACGTGCCCGAGAGGTGCCCGAGAGGTGGGGTGCTGCCCCGTGGCGATGTGGTTCCCCACGGACGAGAAGTGGAAGGAGTAGGTGCATGGGGAGAGGAACCAAGTGGGCTGTGATGGTTCACTTGTTGCTGCTCTTCGGTAGGTGCAGAAGGTGCGTGGGTGGTACGAGGAACATGGGCCTTCACCAGGTGACCTGCTAGTTATGGGTCACCAATGGTTCACTAGCAGGTCACTCTCAATTCGCTCTCGGGTATTTTCCAGGTGACTCGCAAGTCACTGTTGTAATTTCCAGGTCACACTCAGGTCACACTCAGGTCACTCTCAGGTCACTCTCAGGTCATGTTCAGGTGATTCAATTGTGTTTCTGGTCGTGAAAGGCTGAAGGTTGATTGGTGAGAGGCCGAATGCCGCCCAGCTGAATGCATCGCAGCCGTGTGTCCAATACTCTGTGCGTGGAGTGGTGCATGCCCTGCGAATGCCCTGCCATGTTATTGAGCGTAGCAATGCGCGGAACTAACAGTGACTGACACTCTACAGCATTGCTCCCTCCGCAACTCCACCACCCTTTTCCTTTTCCCATCACCCACAACTTTCCTATCACAAACCTCACTCGCAATTCCCTCTGACCCCTCTTTTCTGTCTCACTTGCCCTCCCACTGGCACGCCCTCCCCCACTCACCCACTTTGATTTAAAAGGAATCTACTTATACATCACCACTTTCTGTCCCACCCCCCTTCCCTTTCCACCACCCCTCCTTCCCATCACTAAACCATTTCTCTTACACCTACCTTGGACGGTCCTTGCATTGATATAGCCAGGTGTGCAGCTCGGCAGGTATATTAAGGTGAGAGAATGCGCGCAGCACGCAATGACTCGCATTTCCCACTGGCAACTCCTCCCCCACATCACTCACCACGTTCCGAAACAAATCTACTTTCACACCACAACTTCCTACCCCCCGCCCCATCACTCGCTCGCCCATGTCACCAAACTCTTCGTCTGACGTGGGTCACTACCACTACCACCGTCCAGGTGCATAGCAACTATTACTCCGTATCATTTTTCTGCCTTCCCGCTCCCAATCAACATCCCCTTCACCTTCAGCGTCCCCTTCCCCTTCTCCATCCCCACCCCCATCACCATCCGTCCCCCCTCCTCAGGTTGGTATGGTGCTGCCAGTGACCTCCGTCACTCGCCAGTCTCATTCCTCTCTCCTTTTGTCCATCTGTTCCCCGCTGCCATCCCTTCCCTCCTCCCCCTCCCCTCTCCCCCCTCCCCAGCTGTGCATTGTGCAGCCAGTAGCCTCCACCAGTCTCACCATCTCCTCGCATGCCTCGCCACCAAGGCCACCATCACTGCTGTCGACCTCCACCGCGCCCTGCCACGCCCCTCCCTTGTCCCTCATTCTCGTGGCCGCTGTGGGAGTGAGTGAAGTGAGTGTCTCTCCTGATTTTTCCCTCTACCCCGCTTTCTCTTCCCTGCTTTTTCCTTCTCCCGCTTTTTCCTCGACCCTTCTTCCCTCTCCCACTCGCCTGTCCCCTTGGTTCTCGCCTTGCTGCTATTGATGCCGGTCAGTGGCTCCACTCCATCCATCCCATACCCCCTCAGCTTTGCTGAGTTACAGCATGCAGCTCTCCTTTGCTTGCTTGCCCGTGCTCGTCACTTCTCCCCCCGTCCCCTTAATCCCCCAACCCACCCTCCGCTCAGCTAATTAGTCCCTCATGGCAGGGTGCTACGGCATGCCTCATCGTACCTCCTGCCATACCTCCTGTCATACCTCCTTCCAATACCTCCTCCCCTTACCTCCTCCCCATACCTCCTCCCATACCTCCTCCCCATACCTTCTCCCCATACCTCCTCCCCATACCTCCTCCCTGTACCTCTTCCCCATACCTCCTACCACACCTCCTCGCCACACCTCCTACCATACCTTCTCGCCATACCTCCTGCCATACCCCCTACCATACCTCCTTGCCATACCTCTTTCCTTACCTCCTGCCATACCTCTTGCCATACCTCCTGCCGTACCTTCTCCCCATACCTCCTCCTGCACACATGCTCCTTGCCTGCCCCTCCCTTGTATTCTGCCAGCTCACGCTCTTTCATTTCACCACACCATGCCCGGCATTACAGGGTGCGGTGCACTGCCCTTCCTTGCTTGCCCCTACCCGTCGCTTCTTCCTCCCGCCTCCCCTCCATCTTCCCATCCCCACATCTCCTTTCCACTTTCACCCCCAGCTCGTCCAACACATTGGGTCAAGACGGTGCAGTGTGTAGCTCTCCCCGCTCTCCTTTCCTTGCTTGCCCTCGCTTGCTGCTTCGTCTTTCATCCACCGCATCCCCCATTTCTCTCCCACCGCCCACACCTCCAGCTCCTCCAGGGCACCATTTCAGCACGCTACGGCGTGCAATTATCACGCCGTACCCTCATTGTTCCCACTCTCTTTGCTTCTCCCTCCTCCTTCTCCCAATGCACCTACCCTTGAACCCCTCCCCAACCTCTCCCGGCAAGCCCTCTCCTCTATCCCTCTCTTCCCCCCTAGCCCGGCACTACAGCGTGCGCCTCATCTCATCCCTCCCTTCTCCGTCATCCCCCCCGCCACCACCCCACCCACCACCCCCCAGCTCTTTCAGCTCATCATGGCAGGGCGCTATAGGATAATGACCTCCCCGCCCTACCGACTCCCCGGGCCCCTGGGTTCCCACGGTGCTGCCACCTGTTTCGACTCACTCGGGCCCATGTGGGAGGTAAGGCAGGTACCTGAGCGATATGGCAGTGTGTGTGTGGGAAGGGAGGAGAGGTGGGGGATGCAGTCTGTGCCTTCCACAAAGCAAGGGTTCAACAGTGCATTGCCTCTTCTCAGCCCTCATCATCCTCGCGTTCCCTGCCCTTCCTTGCTCATTCTTCCTGCCATGCTTGGGCCCACCCTTACCTGGGTCCATCCACCCTTGCCTGCCGTCACCCCTCCCTCCCGTCTGCAGGCATGAACCGGCAGGAGCAAAGCCACTCTCATCACCCGTCTCCCTCTTGCTCTCCTGCACTCTCTGCCTGCCCTACCCTGCCTTCCATCTTCCTCCTGGCCCTTTCGTGGTTTCTCCAGGTACCATCTCTGCCTCTTCTCACCATTCATCATCCTCACCCTCCGCAACAGCAAGGAGCTGCTGTCACTCGACTAAATCTCGACACTTGGCAGACGCCGATACGAGCTCGCATGGGTGCAGTTCAACAGTAGCCTGCTGCTGCCCAAGAATGGCGGCATGTTCACCTCATTCTTACCCACTGATATCTGGAGCATGTCACCATTTGGCATGATACACAAAAAAATATTTCCTTTGGCAGGAGCAAGTTTATGAAAAACCGCTGTGTTTTTTTTTTTTTTCAAGGTGGCCCCACCCATGCACATCCTGTCCCAGGAACCTACCTTTGGCCCTCCTATCATATCCCACCAGCACAACACCATATAATTTAGAAACAAACATACATACATGAGTCATGACCTCTCAACTCAACTGTTGGTGGCTGAGGTACAATGGTATCTTTAAACTGGTACGCTGATTATGTTTGCTGCCTTCATGAACTGTGAATCGAGCTCTACTGCACTACTCAATACCTTGCATAGCTGTTCTCAGCCGAAGAGAATCATATCAAGCCTTTTCAGACTGGTTGGCATGGCAGGGGCCAACTTTGTATGTGTTGGGAGGGGGAGAGGGGGGTGGGGATTGTTGGGCTGAGAAGGCCCTTAAGGATCTTTGCAGAGGATAACTCTGGGTAGGAGGAAACTTGTAATAGCGGAAGCGTTTAATGAAACTTGTGAACCGACCTTGCACTAGTGTGTGAGAGCAAAGTAGATTAAATTAAACAAGCAAATACAAGGTTTTATATAAGAGTACAGGGAATACGAATAGATAGATAACTGTATTGCTGTTGCGATTCGATACAGTGCGACTCGGGCAACTGCTCTGCAACGAGTCAGTTGTGTGTCCTTAACTGTCGCGCTGTAATTGTCGAGTCAAAGGTCGCTGACCTTTGACTTTCTCGTAACCTCCAGGCGGTTACCCTAACCTCCGAGGTTTGACTCGATGCTTCGATTCGGACTGCTTCGCTAGTGTCTTGGGTTTTGACACGACGGAAGCGCACTAAGACTTATTGTTTCCAACACTCCCCTTCGCTTCTGGAGTGTCGCCGCAGGTGACGTGGCCTTGTCCAGTCAGCATCATGCAGTATTCGAACTTCTGCTTTCCGAGCTTCTTGGTCAAGTAATCGGCTGCCATCTCAGATGTTGGACAGTATGACAGATCGAGTTTCCCCTTTTCGATCTCGTCCTTCACGAAGAAATAGCGCAGGGCGATGTGTTTCGTCCTGTTTGCGAAGCCGTTCTTGTTGGCGATGCGAATTGCTGACTGGTTGTCGCAGAACACGGTGAAGCTGGGTAACTCGGCTAGCTTCGCTTCTTCCAGCAGTTCGCGAAGGTAAAGTCCCTCCTTGGTGGCTGAGCAGAGTGCAATATATTCCGCTTCAGCTGAAGACAGTGCGATTAACTCCTGCTTACTCGACTGCCAGGAGATAGGACCGATAGGTTCGAGGCGGTAGACATAGCCGGTGCGTGAGCGCCTGTTATCGGTGTCGCCGGCGTGATCGGCGTCGACGTAGCCGATTAGCTTGGTCGGTGTAGTTGCGTTTTTGTGATAAGTTAATCCGATCGTCGCGGTGCTGACGAAATAGTGGAGAGCGCGATCGAGTTCCGCCAGATGCTCTGCTTCAGGCTTCTTGAGATAGGTGGCGAGCTGGCTCGCGGAGTAGGATAAGTCGGGACGGCATGTGACTGCTGCGAAGAGAAGACATCCGAGCTTCTTCTGATAGTCGCGTATGCCGGCGGGCTTGAGTAGAGTAGATCGTCCCTTTTCGGTTCCTGACGTGTAGCGGTAAGGCGTGGAGATGGCGCTTGGTGTGAGGCCGAAGCGTTTCGCGATGGTGTCGGCGTACTTCTCGGCGCTTAGATAGATTGCGTTTTCTTCCTCGCGGATGTTGAGCCCGAGGTACTGCGTAACCGTAGAAGAGACCGTGAGCGTGAGGTCTTTCTGAAGCTCCCCTTCGAACCACGTGGTGATGCCGTCGGTTGACCCAATGTAGAGGAGATCGTCCACATAGACGATTAGGAGAACGTAGTCGCTTCCCTTTGTGAGGCGATACATGCCCTGGTCATGCGGGAGTTGTTTGAAACCGATGCGGATGAGGCGGGCGTGTAGGTACTGCTGCCACAGTCGCGGTGCCTGCTTGATCCCGTAGAGCGATTTAAGCAGTTGACAGACTCGGTTGGGTTCGCCGTGGGAGCCGTGCGGGAGCTCGACGAAGATTTCTGCATCTACAGGTGCGTAGAGAAATGCGTTTGCGACGTCGATTTGTCGCAATTTCTTTTTCTTCATGGCGGCGACGGCGATGAGGATTCGGAGTGAGGTGTGACGGCTGACCGGAGCGAAGGTTTCGGTGTAATCTCTTCCGTGCTCCTGGTCAAAGCCGCGTACGACCCAGCGAGCTTTGAATTTGTCGATGGTGCCGTCGGCTTTCGTCTTCACACGGAAGACCCACTTTCCGGTAAGGATAGTCTTGTTTTGTGCTACGCCGATGGGAACGATTTTCCAGGTGTTGCGCTCCTCCAGTGCCTTCAGTTCTTTGTCCATGGCTTCACGCCATTTCTCCCTGTGTTCCCCCCCCAGAGCCTATTGAACCGTCGCAGGCTCCTTAGGAATGGCGGCGCCATGGACTGCGGTGACGAGACCAAGGATTTGCAGCCCAGTCTGTGAGTATCGAGGGAGTTCTGGATCCTCGGGATAAGCTGCTTCGTCTCCCGCTTCTGGGTCGGGTATGAAATTCGGCCCTACCCTTTCTGCTTCGTTGGTGTTGACTGTCGCAGGTGTTACGTAACCATTATCGGCGAAATGGTAGAAGACTTCGGCGTTGTTACTGTCGCGAGGGTTATCCTCATCCATGGGCACGTTGACGGAGCAGTACGGAAGAGGTCCGGCTTCCTCCGATGCGTTGTCGACGTTCTGCTCATCCCAGTCTGCTTCATCCGCTGCTGACGCGAAGGCTCGGTCACCACGAAAACCACTGGTGAGGTCCTGATTCTCGTGCAAGTTGGAGAGGTACGTCTGAAGAGTGAGGCGTTTGTAGAAGATCACATCTCGTGCTGCTACTGTTTCTTTTGTGTGGACGTCGAAGATTCTCCACGCGTTGTAATTTTTCTCGATGCCGAGGTGTAGTCCCCACTGTGCCCGTTGCGAAAATCTTCCCGCTCGTGCTTCTGGGTGTCTGTACTGTACCATGCACCCGAAGACTCGTAACATTTTTGTGCTGCCCTGCTTCCCTGTCCACAGCAGATGCGGTGATGCGTTGTTCGGGAGTGACGACGACGACAACAAGTTGTGCAGCATGACAGCATGGTCTATTGCTGCTGGCCACTGGTGGTTGGGTAGCCGCATGCCACGTAACAGTTTGCACATGCTGTTCTGCAGAGTCCTGTTCATTCGTTCTGCGACACCTTGCTGCTGATGTGCGTAGGGAAGGGAGAGGAGTTGCTTGATCCCCCTTTCCGCCAGGAACTGCTTGAAGCGCTGAGAGGTGTACTCGCCACCTCCGTCTGACTGGAAGCTTTTCAGTTGCGTTCCAGACTCTCTCTCTGCTATCGGTAGCCAGGCGGCGAATGCTGCGAGTGCCATGTCGCGGCTGGGTAGGTTACGATGCCAGACATATCGAATGGCGGCGTCGATGAAGGTGATGGTGTAGTTGTAGTTAACTTGTCCTGGTTCGCGATTGTAGAGGATGTCGCTGTAGACCTTTTCGAGTGGTGCGTACGCTGGAGCGCTCGGGTTGTGATGTGGAGCGAACGGTCGATGAGGTAAGTCAGCTTCGGGACATATAAGGCAAGTCCCTCGTGCCTTCTGGAGTTCTCTGCCATCGGGTAGAAGTAGGGAGTCTTTGTCAAGAACTCCTGCTCTTATCGTGTTATTTAAAACCGTGTTGCTTGGATGTCCTGTGCGTGCGTGCCAGATCTCTTCAGAGGCGCGGTGTCCGGGTGAACGTTGGTATGCGTCGGAGTTGGCGCTTCGGTGGACTTCACGTTGAGTCGGATTCAGCTGTTGCGCGGGTGTTGGTGGTGCTTCGTCGACTGTGACCGGTGTCGTTGTTCCTGCTGCTGCTGATGTTGTTTCTGCTGCCGATGTTGTTGCTGCTGCCGATGTTGTCTCTGCTTCTGATGTTTGTTGAATCGTCGCTAACGCTCTTGTTCGTTCTGCTTCAGGGATAGTGTGGGAGTACCAGAAACCTCCCGGGCTGAAGTCGGGGTCGAGATCAGGAGGGTGTGTCCAGTCAGTAAAATTCACGATGGTGTCGCTGTCTGCAGTGCCCAGGTCAGGAACGAAGTTGAGGACGAAGACGTTGTTCTTCAGCACTGCCTTCCCGATGTAGAGACCGCCTCTCCCGTGGTATAGCTTGAACTCCTGGGTGGTGCTGTCGGCTTCCAGGTGAATTCCCTTCGCCATCAGCTGGCTAACACTCAGTAAGTTGTAACCGAGTCCTTCAGCGATGAGTACCTTAGACATGTGCAGTATGACATTTGTTTCTCTTGACTGAAGCTGTACCACTCCTTGTCGTCGTGTGCGCAGGTTTTGATTGTTGGCGACCGTGATGATCACTTCTCGTTGGAGTCGATGTTCGCGTTGTACGAAGCGCCCGGACGAGCACATGTGTTGCCCGCAGCAACTATCCAAGAACCAAGTGTCTTGGCCGGACGGTTCACTTTGAGCGATGGCGGCGTAAGTCGGATTCGGGTGGAGTGATTCGCGGCGAGGCGTCCTGTTGTCGAGCTCCTCTTCTGGTGAGTAATGGGGTGGTGACTCTGTTATGCAGGAGTCGTTTATCTTTACCATGCAGTTGACTATGTTTCTTGCTCCTTGTGCAGGTTGTCCAGTTGAAGTCGTTGAAGCTTGAATCGTTGTTGTCGGACTTGCTTGCGTTGAAGCAACTTGTGAGCTTGAAGGCCGCAGTTGTCGCTGTGGTGTTGTCTGACGAGACGGGCAATGCGTGCGGGGGTGTCCTGATGTTTTGCAGATGTGACAAAACGGAGGTACTGACTTCGGCTGCTGCTGTCGGTTGTTGTAGTTGTTGTGTCGTCGCTGAGTATGGAAAGCGAACTCCGGTGCTAATGCCCTTTTCTTGTGCCTTTCTTCTTGCAGG